TCCTTTTATTTATGACATTGGTTATTTGTGTTTTCTCTTTTTTTTTCTTGTCTAACTTTGTGAGTGGTTTGTCAATTTTATTACTCTTTTTAAATAGAAATTGCTCTGTCAGTTAAGAAATAGAACATTGACAATCTTTCTTCTAAGATCTGGTGATATTTTAGATTTTATCATAGATAGTGACTTTACATAGATATGTGTTTGTTCTTCTTTGAAATATATTCATTTTGTACAGTAGGGGCAATAGATTTCATAACTTAAAAGCTTTAAAGGCTACAGCAAAAATTAACAGGAAGCTCTAAAGCTTTGTTTAAGGTATTGAGTGAAAAATTTTGAACTACAGGAGACAGAGATCACTCTGTAGAGTTTTTCCAATAAAGTCATTTTTTAAATTATATTTCATACATAAAAGTGTAAAGACTGTTATAATGAATACCCTAGTACTGATAACTAAGCTTAGGAAATAAAACATTTCACATACAGATGAAATATATTATGTGTCCCTTTCTGACTGCATTTCCTTTCTATCACAGAGGTAACCACAATCACAAATTTGGTGATTGTCCTTGCAATTCATGTTTTTATATTTTTTCCTATATGCATATATCCCTAAGCAGTATGTACTGTTACTTTGCATTTCGTAAAGTGATGTATAAATGATGGTATATGGTATGTGTTCTCCCACAGATAGTTTTTGCCAAGTATTATTCATTTAATAAATTTTTGCTCAAGTTTTCTATTTTTTAAATTTCTTTTGAGATGATTGAGAATTGCTTGTTGAAGATTTTTTTTTTAAAGTTATCTCTACACCTAACCTGGGGCTCAAACTCCCAACCCTGAGACCTAGAGTCATGTGCCCCACCAACTGAGCCAGCCAGGCACCCGTTGAAGCATTTTTTATGATGGCTGCTCTAAAATCCTTGTCAGATAATTCCAGTATCTGATTTATCTCTATATTGGCATCAGTTAATTGCCTTTTCTTGTTTGGGTTGTGACTCTTCATGTCCTTGGTATGAATTATTTTTTTATTGTTTCCTGGAAATTTTCAATATTAAGTTTTGAGACCCTGGATCCTATTTAAGTCTTTTATCATGGCAAGCAGTCACCCTGTTTATGTTTAGTGCATAGTCCCTGTCTTTCTTTTCTGGGCTGTGGTTCCAATACTAACATAGAATTCAGAACTTGTATACTGCTGATCTGCCCCTCCCTTTTCTTAAGTGTATTTGTTTATTTTGAGAGAGACAGAGACAGTATGAGTGGAAGAGGGGCAGAGAAAGAGGGTGAAAGAGGAACCCAAGCGGGTTGTGCACTGTCAGCCTAGAGCCTAATGCAGGGATCAAACTCATGAAACCGTGAGATCATGACTCGAGCTGAAACCAAGAGTCAGATGCTTAAACGACTGAGACACCCAGGCGCCCCAGCTCTGGCCCATTTCTTTCACCTGGCACCATCAGGGCTCCTGCTTGATTGTGCTGGTGCTGCCTGTAGGGTGGAGTGTACTTCCCCAAGCGGGTCCTGCTAGGGGGAGTATAGGGGATTCTAGGCTAAGGGGCTGTGAGTACTTCCCTGAGCCTGCTCTCTGAGCCACCCAGTGCCTACCTAATCAGTGCTGTATTGTTTGAGGGAGTGGAAGGTGCTTTCCTGGGCTCCCCAAGGCCCCTGGGTGGTAGGTGGGGGATGCTGGGCATGTGGGACAGTGTGTTTTCCAGGACCTTCTCTCCAGGTCCTCTGGTGCTGATGGGCTTCTTATTCAAACTCTGCCAGTGCCCCTGAGGGAGAGAAGCGTGTACCTGGGCCTCCTTCTGCCTCTGGTGGTAGTGGTGGGGGGCATATTTACTAGGTGGAGGCCCAGGATATGCTGGAATGGGTCTCCCTCTACTGCTGTGTGGAGGGCCAGGAGACACTGGGCTTCTCAGTGCTTCTGGGAGGAATTGTCTGCCTGCTCTTTGCGGGTGCTGCTGGTGTATACAGAGTAGGCCAGCCAGGTATGGCATGGAGATGGGGTTCCCCACTAAGTCTCTGGTGAGCTGCCTCTTTCCTGGGCCTTCAACCTGAAAAAGCTGGCTTTTCCTAGAGCTTTTTCTGTGTCTACCTTTTGGTGGTTCTGAGCCATGTGTCTCTCCAGTGCCCAGTCTGAGGTATGTGGTAGATGAAAGAAATCTCAGGGAATGGGGTGTTGCTCCTCAAGTCCCCAGGTCCCTAGCCAATCTGCTATCCTCTCTCTACCTCTCAGAATCCCCTATAGTTGTCTCTAATTATTTCTAGGAGGTTTTAGTTGTATCTGGAGGAGAGTAACAGGGAAAAGTGGGTCTATGTCATCTTGTCTAGGACCAAAAGTCTCAAAGAAAAAAACCTATTTTATTTTATAGTTCTTTCATCAATCCCTCTCTCTCCTCTCACATTTTACTACAAACAGTAAGGAGAAAACTTAGAAATCTCTTTATATCAGCAAGCACATTGGTACACACTGTTTTCCACATAACTGGTGTAGGCAGTGTTGTTGCAAATGTCCCCTTTCCTCCAGTTTCCAGTAAGGTGTTCCTCACTTCCTTTTGAGCAGCCACCAGTAGTGTCCACCAATTCCAGATTTCTATAAACTATCTGTTCAAAGCAATTCAGGTTTTCCCTATCATGCTCTGAAAAATCTTTCCAGCTTCCACCCAGTGCCCAATTCCAAAACCACTCCAGTTGTAGTTATTTTTAATGGCACCACCCCACTTTCAAATGCAAAATCTGTATGAGTTAGCTATGGCTGAATAACAAATTACCCCCAAACTAAAACAACACATGTTTATTATCTCTCCATTTCTGTGGTTCAGAAATCTGGGTATGACTTAGCTGGATCTTCTACTTGTGGCTTTCTCACAAGGCTGCAGCCAAGGTGATGGCTGGAGATAAGGTCTCATCCGAAGGCTTAACTAGGGAAAGACCTGCTTTCAAGCTCATGTACATGGTTGTTGGCAGCATGCAGTTCCCTGAGGGTTGTTGGACTGAAGACTCACTTCCTTCCTGGCTGTTGTCAGACGACTGCCCTCAGTTCCTTGCTATGAGTACTCTCCAACATTTCAACTTGCTTAGTCAAAGGCAGTAATAAGTAGAGGCTGCTAGTAAGACAGAGGTGACAATCTTATGTAACCTAATCATGAAAGTGACATCCCATCACCTTCATCATATTCTATTAGAAGCAAGTCACTACATTTAGCTCATGCTAAAAGTAGGTGGTGGTAGCAGGTGGACAGGAACCCCAGGATATGTGGGTGATTGGGGGCCATCATAAGATCTGCCTACCATAGATGTCATCATTATTACTTATAGGGGCACCTGGGTGGCCCAGTCGGTTAAGCGTCCAACTTCAGCTCAGGTCATGATCTCATGGTTCTTGAGTTTGAGTCCCACACTGGCCTCTGCGCTATTAGATCATCTGTCTCCCTCTCTCTCTGCCCCTCCCCAACTCGTGCACACACACTCTCTTACTCTCTCAAAAACAAACATTAAAAATTAAAAAATATGCCTTTATAATTTTAGTGTTTTTTAAACTGTTTTTAAATGTTTGTTTACTTTGAGAGAGAGAAAGACAGTGTGAGCAGCAGAGAGACAGAGAGACAGGGAGACACAGAATCTGAAGCAGGCTCCAGGCTCTGAGCTGTCAGCACAGAACCCAGGGCTCGAACTCACGGACCATGGGATCATGACCTGAGCTGAAGTCGAACAATGAACTGACTGAGCCACTCAGGTGCCCCTAATTTAATGTTTAATAGCCAATAATCTTTACCTGTTATAGAAAACTTACTAAATCTCCATTTTTATCCCACAAAAAAGGATTACAGTAATAACCTATTGTATTGTGACTTTGGAACATCCAGTTACTATATGTTATAGTGTTTCATTAATTTATGGAAACATGTTCCTATGACTGCATAGTAAAGATTCTTATGTAGGCAACGACTTTCTTTCCTGAGCCATTATGGCAGTTTAGCTATGTATTCCTTATGTTTCAGCACTTTTAAACTTGCAAAAGAGATATTTATAGTTTTATCTCCCCTGCTGGACTGTAGGCTGCTTGAAGTAAATTTTATAAAATTTATATAGTCTATATATATATGTAACTTTTTAAAACATTTTTTCTATTCCCTGACTACATCTAAAAGAATATATTTACCATTGAGTTAAGTAGATAACTATTGGGGCTCCTGGGTAGCCCAGTTAGCTGAATGTCTAACTTGATTTTGGCTCAGGTCATGATCCCAAGGTCATGGAATCAAGCACCACCTCAGGCTCTGTGCTGAGCATGAAGCCTGCTTAGGATTCTCTCTCTCTTTCCTTCTGCCCCTCTCCTCATTTGCACTCTCCTCTCTAAAATATAGATAGATAGATAGATAGATAGATAGATAGATAGATAGATAGATAGATAGACGGATGGACAGATAGAGAGAGAGAGAGAGAGAGATAAGAATTCCTGTAGCATTAAAGATGATGCACCCAACATCTTTGTAATAATAAAAGATACATATTTGAGAGAATGTCTCTAAGTCACCCAAGTTCAATCAGATGCCAGATAGATTAAATGCTAATTGATCTAATTACAAGCATTGTATCTCCCAACACTAATAACAGAGTATGTAATGAATGGGTTGATGAATATCCCTTTGACATTGTGTTTGTGCTTATGTGTATATATAACCATCCATCCATCCACCCATCCACCCATCCATCCATCCATCCATCCATCCATCCATCCATCCATCTTTATTTTCTGAACTAGAGAATCTGGATGTGTTTCTTCATTTTATGCCTCCAAAAGTATTTCCACATAATGTATAATATGTAGATAATAATGCAACTGTGCAATAATATTAAATTAACATCCATTTATTCTTAATCCAGTTTAGGTAGATTTAGATGGTTTAAAATTGCAAGGAGAAAAACTATTTTGGAAGATTGCACATTTTTGTAAGTTTCTATAACACTGAGACATTTAATAAGTTTCATATTTGAGGAATTATTGTGAATTACTTATTAATCCATAAGTCTACTGATATAACCATCAAATGCTTGTTGAATGCCATTCTATCTTCACATGTTTAATTTGTGGGGGAGTTCTAAAATTTGGATCCCAATTGTATTCTGGTGATAACAACTTAGTGGGTTTATTGATAAACAAATATTTGTTTAAGTAATGTTCATATATGCTCTTGAGTCCATTTCTGTTGTCACTGGTAACTCCTTTTTGATATTCTTTAACGAAGGCTAAAACCTCATGGGGTGTGCCACCAAAAATTGCACTATGGTAATAGAAATCTCCCTCTCCAAAAGGGATGAAAGCTGCTGATTTAGGTCTTCTCTCATAAGGGAAGTTTTCAGTATGTCTAAAATACCACCATGCATGGAGTTGAGCTACAGACTCACCCAGGGTTTCCACCCCAAAGTCATTCTTAAAGACCTGGTTTACAGTCATACTGAAGAGAAAGTTGACTTCATGTTGGATGTGTTCTGTGATGTACATATCCAAGTTTTCCATATATATGTAACTAAAGTCTTTCCACACATGTTGTTTGAGCGCAACACATAGTTTAAATGTTCGAAGGGGACCTAACTCTATGGGAGGTAGTTTGGAGAAGTCATCCATCAAGATGTAAAAGATAACATTGTAGCCAACCATGAAGTGCTTATTAGCAGACTGGAGGAACTGTTGCAGGTACTTATCCACATACCTGTGAAACACGAAAAACCAAGCATTCACTTTGCTAAAATTCATCAGGAGAATACATGTCACTCGAACATGCTGTAGAACATGTGTGTCATTGTTGCTAAAGCTACCAGTAGGTCGGGGGTAGAAGTTGCATCCAGAGCTTAACTGTGTTGGTTAGTGGAAGAGGATGTAGTGAACTTGAGGGGCCTGAGAAGAGCCATAACATTTATTGAGAAGAAAGGAAAAGTGAGCTAACTGGATATTAATAAAAAGATTCCAAGTCATGTTAAGAAATCAGCCATTGCTGGAGAAAATAACCACTACAAATAATTATGCAGACCAGCCAGAAATCATGATTAGTGTTAATTATGAGTAGTTGTTTGGATATAGAGAATTCATGGGTGTTTATCCATGTTTCCAAAATAAAAAAGGATGAACGTTAGTAGCACCTACTTTCCAGTAGCAAATACAGCCAAGCCAATGGTAATGTTCAACCTTTTGTAATACTTTTCCAGGACTTGTCTGTTGTAAGTTTCTTCCCATATGATTGGTGCAAGCCAATCAGTTGTTGTTTTAACATCAGGACGTTTTCTGTTGAACGAACAAGAAAATAATTAAGAAAGTACCACTTATTATGACAGTAGATGTTGTTCTCCAAGTGATAGTAGCTAATATTTATAAAGTACTAAACTATGTGCCAGGCATAGTGATTACATTTTTTGCACTATTTATTTAATCCTTGCAATGTCCTATAATATAAATTCCATCATTATCTCTATTTTTATATGACAAAACATGGGCACAGATTGGTTGAGTAAATTACTTAGTGTCACACAGCTAATAAGTGTCAGAATCAGGATTCATTATCAGCCAGTTGGCTTTCCAAATCTGTGCTTTGGTCATTATACCAAACTGCCTTTTGAGGGGTACATGGCTGGCTCAGTCAGTAGAGCATGGAGTTGTAGGTTTGAACTCCATGTTGGGTATAGAGATTACTTGAAAAGAAAAACCAACAAAAAAACCTTGCCTTTTGAGTCCAAGAATTTTTTCCTTGAGCTCTGACTGTATAGCAGCCCAGTGTCTGAACATTTCTCTGATTATTGCCTAAATAATAAAGCAGATACACCACTGTCTGCTCCTGTCTTCCTTTCCTTTTACCCCCTTCTCATCTTTCTCTTCCTTTTTCCTCTTTTCCTGGAGTACCTTCTTTCTACCCTTCCTAAGGTACTCCAGGAAGAAAGTAAGATTAGTCCAAAAAGGAAGATGATATTACATTTGCTTCTAATAATAACAAAATGACAGCAGAAGCAGCAGAATTAGTAATAATAAACAAAAAACAGCCCCCCCCAAAAAAAAAAAACAAAATAAACAAAAAAAAGTAATAATATACAGTTCGGTTGGAGACAGGATACTACACTATTAAAGCAAATTAAGGCCGGGGCACCTGGGTGGCTCGATTGGTTAAGCTTCTGACAAGCTTCTGACTTCAGCTCAGGTCATGATCTCATGGTTTGTGGATTCAGGCCCCACATCAGGCTCTGTGCTGACAGCTCAGACCCTGGAGCCTGCTTTGGATTCTGTATCTCTCTCTCTCTCTCTGCCCCTCCCCTGCTCATTCTCTTTCTCTCTCTCAAAAATAAACATTAAAGATTTTTAAATTTTTAGGGGCACCTGGGTGGCTCAGTTGGTTAAGTGTCCAACTTCGGCTCAGGTCATGATCTCATGGTCCGCAAGTTCCAGCCCTGCATCGGGCTCTGTGCTGACAGCTCAGAGCCTGGAGCCTGCTTCAGATTCTGTGTCTCCCTCTCTCTGCCCTTGTCCTGCTTGTACTCTATCTCTCTATGTCTCAAAAATAAAATAAAAACATTTAAAAAAAATATTTTTAAATTTTTAATAAAAAATAAAAATAAAGTAAATTTAGGCCTTCATTTCAGGAAGGAACTGAATACTAAGTGTGAAGCCATTTTGCTTTTGGTAATTACAGGTTTTAATTATAAATCCAGACCCAGACAAGGGTAAGTTTTGACAACCCTTAATAGTACATTAATAATAATAACAAAGTTCTTTAAAAGTACCCCCCCCTTTTTTTTTTACTATTTTAGGAATTTTTAAAATTTACACATTTATTTATTTTCTTATACATTTAACTTTTATACCCTTCTTATACTTAGTATTTATGGCCATATACTTCTATTTGACCCAAAAGTCTCAAACTCCACTTTAATAATGGGCAGATGTACCCTTATTACAGTGATGATGCTTATAAATTAGACACATCACAGATACAAGTCTCATTCTCAGTGTTAGTTCCGAGATAATTCCCTGGAAAGGCTGAGGTACTATTCTGTAGTAATTTGCCATCCTGCTTTGATTCAATGAGCAATATGAGATACTATGTCTTCCAAAGCTAAAATGCACAGTTCACAACACAAGGTGGATGTGAGGCTGTCCCTGCTCACAATTACATCCAGTAATGCACTTATAGAATGTTTGCTTTCCATTGTTGTGGCTTTGGGTTCAGTGTGTTTAGAGTTCTCAGTTCTCCAGGGAGGAGTCTGCGCTAGGGGGTAAGTCATGGTTCTGTGAAAGTGATGGCAGATCACTTGTGGCTCCTCATGCCACTGACCTAACAGGCAGAAAATGCCATTACTGTACAAGGATGGCAAGCAGGGCTTCATATAGAAGGCACAGGATTCTCTGGGAGTGCCCCCAGCTACCTCATTTCCAGTAATAACGGTCAATGGGAAATTGGGGCAACTCAGTAAGATCAGACCACCGAGGGAATCAGACTCTCCAGGAATGGAGGTTTGAGTCACCCTATCAAATAGAAACTCTGACCATCAAAGGGGTTAGCAGAGGATAAAGAAGCCATGGGATGGTGATCATTACTGCCTCCTTTTATTGCCAACCTCCTGAACAGATACAGAAGTGGGACTGTAGTCATGATCTGCTGTGTTAATTATTTTCTCCCCTTTGCCACCTTATATGAAGAATACTAGAGATGGAAGATGTTATGATCTAGGTTTCAAGTGGGAATATAGCTGGGTTTCCATCACCTTGATGATACCCCCTAGCTGATGTGACTTTTTGTTTCTCCTGTTTGGGGAACGTGAACTACTCCATCTAAGTCAAAGTTGAGAAATGACGCTTAGTGGCACAAAGGGTAGATTATATTAATTATTCTCCATTTACCATTCCCCTGTCCATCCTTAGCCCTTCTCTACCTGGCCTGCCTTGGGAGCAGACTGATTACCCAAAGTTCCCTGCCCTGTGGCTTGCAGAGGGTTCTGCTAATGGGAAGTAACCACATAAGATCAGAGGGCAGGAGAAGTCTATTTTCCTCTTCTGTCTCCCAGCTTTGTTAAGACCTTGCCAGTGGCTGTGTCCATATACAGCTACAGCTTCTGTTGGGCAGCTCTTTCATGGTTCCAGAAATTCCTGGTCTCCAGGAACGCCATCTCTTCCCTTGTCCCTTTAGGCTGAGGGTGGTAGGCACTTCTTACTATTGAAGCTTCTGGATGCTTCCATATTCTTTGTTGGGGCTCTAACAAGATTTTTTTTATTGCTTTAGTTTTTACAGTTAAGTCTGTAATCTATCAGGAAGTTACCTTTATTGATGCCATAAGATTAGTGCCCTATTTTTCCCCTCACTTAGATCACCAATAGTGATAGTGTCAGTATAATTTATGAACTAATTTCTTGTTTCCTTACTGATTTTTAAGATACAATTTTTGTTATATATCAACTTTGATACATACTGTGATCTGATTCTTGATTTACTACTCCTTTGATCTATTCCATGTTGATTTGATCACAATGATATCAAAATATGTTTGGATATTTAAGGTAAAATCCTCTCTTTTTAAAATTTGTGTGTGTGTGTGTGTGAGAGAGAGAGAGAGAGAGAGAGCGAGCGAACAAGGTGGGGCAGAAGAGGACTTAAACAGATTCCACCCCCAGTGTGGAGCCTGATGTGGGGCTCCATCTCCTGACCATGAGATCATGACCTGAGCAGAAATCAAGAGTTGGACACTTAACCAACTGAGCCACTCAGGCACCCATAGGCAAAATCCTCTTAACTTTCTTATTTTTCACACTTTCCTTGGCTGTTCTGAGACGTTTATTCCCACATATTTACTTTAAGCTTACAGTTTTCTGTACTTAATAAGAACCAAAAATGAGCTTCTTCCCTGATATCTCAATACTGCAGAGGTCATTTCATTTTAAACTATAACATTGTTGTTAAGGTGCTATCATTTCACTTAAAAGATCTCATACATTTATTTATTCTACAAATATTGAACCCCTACTATATCTAGGCTTTTTTGTTTTCTAGGCACACTCTTGTGGGAAAGGCAGATAGTAAATGAGTATGTCAAATATACAGTATGTCAGATGTTGGGGAGAGCAATTGAGAACAAAAAATCTGGGTAAGGGAGAAACAGAATGGGGTGCTGGTTTATAGAGAGTGGTTAGAGAAGGCTTCATTGATAAAGTAGCATTTGAGGGAAGTGAGAGAATGAGCCATTTGGCTGCTTGGACACACAGAAAGCACAGAAGGTGCAAAGTTCCTGAGGTGAGAGCATGCTTGGTGTTTCTGAGAAACAACAAGGAGCCAGTGTGATTGGAGGAGTGGAGTGAGGAAAACAATAGTTGAAGATGAGGTCTGAGATAGAATTGGGCAGCTATTTTATCTGTATAATTGTTTCATACTTTAAGCAAATTTTTTGGCAAGGTCTCTTACAAGAGTGTTACTTCTTAATGTATATAATAACAAAAACCTAGACCCAGTCCAAGGATGTGTCACATCCATTAATAAAGCAGTGGATGAGTCACATCCATTTCTACAGTCAACTGTAATGTGGCCATCAAAATGAATGATAGTAATATGCAATTTGGATGAATGTTAGCAATCTAATATTAAGGGTCAAAATAAGTTCCTGGAGTTTACATATGGTATTATATCTTCTTTAAAAAGTTATAAACAACTATAATTTGAAAGTATTACTTGTTCCAGAATACAAATGGAAGATATACATTTATATTTAAAAAAGAGAAAGCAAGTGGATGATGAAGCAGGATTCAGGACGGAGTTTGTTTCAAGGCAGAGGGTAAGGAGACAGAATGGGGGTCCTGGAAAAGACAGAGCTGGATGTTGAAGTTTTTGTTTCATTAAAAATAAGCAAGAGAGGCACCTGGGTGGCTCAGTCAGTTAAGCATCTGACTCTTGGTTTCGGCTCAGGTTGTCATCCTGCGATTCCTGTGCTGGCAGCGGTGGAGGCTGCTTGGTTTTCTCTCTCCTTCTCTCTATGCCCCTCCCCTGCTTGCTCTCTCTCTCTCTCTCTCTCAAAATAAATAAATAAACTTAAAAGAAAACAGAAATAAGCAAGAAAACACACAAATAAATAATGACTGGATTTTGAATAACCTAATGATAAGAGTGAGTCTGAAGCAAAGATTATTATTTAAAAAAATTTTTTTAACGTTTATTTATTTTTGAGAGACTGAAAGAGAGACAGAGTGTGATCAGGGGAGGGACAGAGAGAGAGGGAGACACAGAATCCAAAGCAGGCTCCAGGCTCTGAGCTGTCAGCACAGAGTCTGACGCAGGGCTCAAACTTGTGAACCTGCGAGATCATGACCTGAGCTGAAGTTGGATGCCCAACTGACTGAGCCATACAGGCCCCTCAAATATTGTTATTAATCTTATTGTGTGCACTTGAGGTTATTTTTAAAAATATGAATATGAAAAAGGAATTCACAAAAGATGAAATAAATAACACACATATAAAAGATCAAATTGAACAATAATTATGGAAGTGCAGATTGAATTGAGATATTTTAATTAATAGTTTGCCAATAAAATGTTTGATACTACTAAAATAAGATAGAAATTTATAAAACAAAATTATTAACATCACCCACTATAGATTAGAAAATAAGTGTTATAATCATTAAAAGGAAAGTTAGCAACCTGAGTAAAAATTTTAAATGTCTACATCTCTTTCTTAGTTTTTTAAATCTTTTTTAAAAAGCTTATTTATTCTGAGAGAGAGAGAGGAGGAAGGAGGGAGGGGCAGAGAAAGAGGGGGAGAGAGAATCACAAGCAGGCTCCACACCGTCAGCACAGAGCCCTCTAGAGGGCTTAAATCCTGGACTGTGAGATCATGACCTGAGCAGAAATCAAGAGTTGGATGCTTAACCGACTGAGCCACCCAGGTGCTCCTAAAATGTCTACATCTCTTAAACTAGTGATGCTACAATAGGAATTTATCATATGGATAAATTTACACAAGAGTATACAAAAATATATGTACAAGGATATTCATTAAAATATTACTTACAATAGCCCCCAAACTGCAAATGTTTCAATACTAATAGGGAATTGACTAAATAAATTATGGTATACAGCCATAAAATAGAATACTAGATAACCATTATAAAGAGTGAGATTCTCTGGGGCACCTGGGTGGCTTCGTTGGTTAGGTTAAGCATTCAATTCCTGATTTCGGCTCAGGTCATGATTCCAGGTTTGTGGGATTGAACCCTGCGTCAAGCTCTGTGTTGGGTTCCACACTGGGTGTGGAGCCTGCTTAAGATTCTCTCTTTCCCTTTCCCCCTGCCCCACCTCAAAAAAAAAAAAAAAAAAAAAAAGAGATTCTCCTCCAAGTGTTAATGCCAAAATCAAGAGGAGTCATTAATGGCATTTTTGGGCCACTCCTAAAAAGATTTTCTTCTTTCCCCTAATAAAACCAGAAACATTAAACTAGATAACAGTTTTCTCATTATGACCCTTAATTGCCTGATTCTAGATGAATAGACACTAGGTTTATATATGAAACCCTTTAAAATAAAAACTCCAAGGACTGGAAAGCTCCCAGGATAGGTGCAATTTGATGATGGAAAAAAGTCCTCCCCCATTTAAATTGAGTTGTTGTTGTTATTGTTATTATTATCATTAGCGTGTGTTTGTGTAGAATGTTTTTTTCTTACTTGGGATTAAACCAGTCTGAGAGCTGAAGTTCTTCTTTTTCATTTTCCCTGGATACAAAGAGAAAGTCAAGTTAAGAGCAATCCACTTACTCAGCAAATAATTATTGTGTCCGCATAATATGGCAGGCACTGTTTGATGCTGGTTCTAGAACTGTGAACATTTAGATCAGTTCCTGGCCTCTGGAAGCCAACAGACTAGCTGGAAAGACAACATTAAATAGACAATTACAGTGTAGAGTGGTAACTGCTAATAGGAAAAAAACAGATCTCCATGGAAGCATATAGATGGGTCATCTAACCTAAATTTGGAGATGAAATATGTAAACTTGGTCTGGAAGGATAAGGGATATTTCAGGAAAGAGATGTAGGGTGAAGAGGTCATGACCAACAATGGGAAGGCAGGGAACAGTATGGTTCTTGAGTGGTGGATATATTTTTAATATTAACAAAGTAGGAACAATAGTGTATATTCAGACAAAAATACAGATTTATGTGATTCATTTATCAAGCATTAGTAGCTTACTATGTGATAGACACTTTATTACATGTTGGAATAGGGGTCTAGATGTTTGTCTTTGATTTTCATTTACAAATAGGACCCATCTAAGGTCTTTTTGTACTTTTAAGTTAACTATTTAATTAACAAGTTATAAGAGGGCTTCTCTTTCATAAGCTGGGGATGTTTTCTAAAATAAGAATAACTTTAAGTGACTTGTACTTCCAGAAAGATGGGATAGGTACTCAGTTTCCCTATCCTACCACTAAGTACAGCTAAAAACCCAGGACATTATATGTAAAGTAAGTAAAAAAAGACTGAAAGGCAAAGAGAAGGAATCAGATCAGGTAGGTGCATGGGGACTCAAGGATCAACATGGCAGTGGGCCCCCTGGGTTTTCTGCCACATGTATCTCAGATTGGGGGTGACTCAGAAATGCCAATGGACACAGACAAAAAAAGAGCCCTGAGAAAAAGTTGCTCTTGATAGCTTAAGGGCCAGGAATAGGGCAACCTAGCAAGGCAGAGAACCTGTGTACACTACTCACTCTCCAGCCCAATTAACACAGAAGAACTGTGGCCCTATTTCCATCCCTCTAGCAAAAACCAAGTAGGGAGCCTAGACTTGTACCCTCACCAGACCATCATAGGGATTCCCTCCCTTCTTCACTGGTGTGGAGTTAGAAGGGATTAGTGGTGGTAAAACTGTCACCACTGCTCAGCAATTGTGGCAGTCCCACTGTGGTTGTGTCTGTGGAGACCACATGGGGATCCCAAACTCCTATCCCTGATCATTAGTAACAAGGAGCCCCTCCCCACCGGGTTTCAAGAGAGGCAGAGTCAAGAACCTAATATTTCATCTCTCAACTGACAGTGATGAAGGGGTGTCACCCTATTTCCCAGCTAGCACAGTGTTAGAAGATCCCTATGAAAACATAAGATTTAAATAAGATCCAGTTTCACAATACCCTAAATTGTCCAAGTTTCAATTTAAAAAAAATCACTCGTCATAATAAGAATCAGGAAGATCTCAACTTGAATGAGAAAGAATAATCTACAGATGCCATGATAATACAGATATTGGAATTATCTAACAAGGATACCTGACAAAGGCTGCTTTAAAGCTGTTGAAAAAGTGCTTCAGTGAGCAATTACAAACACTTGAAATGTATGAAAATATAGAAAGTCACAGTAAAGAAATAAAAAGTCTTATTAAAGATATGGAAGGTATAAAGAAGAACCAAATGGAAGTTTTAGAACTTAAAAATATAACGCTGAAATAAAAACTCAATAAATAGTCTTAACAGAAGAATGGAGAGGATGGAGAAAGAATCCGTGAACTTGCAGATAGAATAACCGAAATCACTCAATCTGAATAACAGAGAGAAAAAATAAAAAAAAGAACCAGCCTTGGGGACATGTGGGACAAAAAACAAAACATCTAACATTCATGTCATTGGAACCCCATAAGGAAAGAAAGAGGATGGGGCTGAAAAAGGTTTAAAAATATGGCTGAACATGCCCCCCAAATTTGGCAAAAGACATAAAGATTCAAGACGATGAATGAACCCCAAACAGGATAAACCTTAAAAAAACAAATCCATGCTGGAGTGCCTGACTGGCTCAGTCAGTTAAGTATCTGACTCTTGATCTCAGGTCAGGTCTGGATCTCAGGGTCGTGAGTTTAAGCCCCATGTTGGACTCCACAGTAGATGTGAAGCCTACTTTTAAAAAATCCATGCTAAGGCACATAATAGCCAATTTTCTGAAAGCTAAAGATGAAAAGAATCTTGAAAAGCTGAAAGAAATGATTCATCTGGAGTGGAAAAATAATTTGAATGAAATGGATTTTTTATTAGAAACTATGGACCCAAAAGGAAGTGGAACAATATTGTTCAGGTGCTGGAATAAAAGAATTATCATCCAAAATGACCCCCAGTAGGTGAATGGTTAAACTTCGGTATGTCCCTTCATGGAATACTACACAGCAATAAAAAAGGACTGATCTATTGAGATACACAAAAGGTGGCTGGATCTCAAGAGCATTAACCTGAGTGGAAAAAAGCTCATCTCAATAGATAATATACTATATGATTCCATTTATAACACATTCTCAAAATGACAAAATTATAAAGATAAAAATAGGTAAATGGTACTAGAGGTTAGAAAGGTTGAGGAGAGGACGTTGGGCTGAGAATAAATGGTAGCTCAGAGATCTTTGTAGTGATGGAATCGTTTTGTATCTTGATTACTGTGGTGATCTATAAATCTACATATGTGATAAAATGTTATACAATTATATCCATACATTTCCCAGCATCAATTTCCTATTTTGATATTGCATGACAATTATGTAAGATGTAACACTGGGGGAAATTGAGTGAAAGGTACATGTGACCTCTTTGTTCTATCTTTACAACTTCCTATGAATCTGTAATTATTTCAAAATCAAATATTAAAAAATGACTTTGAAAGTGCATCCCATTTTGACATTTTGGAGGTGTTTTTAACCAAAGATAATTTAATACAGGATTGCTCAAGACTCATACTCTTTCAAATTCCAAATTATCCATGCCTAACTGCATTAAACATGTATAGTGACTAATGGAGAACTTTAATAACAGATTTCTTTTGAGGGTTAGTTTGACTAATTTTTTGGGTCCTACACAATGGTCAATGGTAGAAAACATGGTAGACTACAGATGGCTATCAATCTAAAGAAAAATATCCTGGACAGAGATGCTTAAACTATAGCAAATGTCAAAAATATATCTGGTATAAGCAGATAGGTGTGTTGAAGGAGCAAATTTTAGGGATGTGCACATACACATGTCCATACAGACTCGTATACATGTATATACACAGGTGTACCAATTATTTCTGAACTGATACCCAAGAAATCTGTCAGTGGTTGTCTCTGGAGAATTCATTCCAGTTTTCTGTCACTCCTGGTTGCCACTACCATTAGAACTCACTCCACTCCAGCCAGTTTGCCCCCAATACAGTTTGTAGAATATTGATAGAACAAAGATTCTTACCAGCAGAGCTCTATCTTCTCTACGTGGTTCTTTATTCTTCACATAAATGAAAAGAGACATTTTTAGTGTGAAATTTGAACAAATGCCTATTGTAATTGGAATAACAAAAAATTCAGAATTCAGATCCTCTCATTTACTCACTTGTTAGCTGGGTAATTACTAAACACCTATTACATGCCAGGCATAATGCTATAGTTCTGGAATACATATCATCCAGTTCTGATGTGACATTCCAGTTCTGGAATCTGGGCCTGCAATGAGCTTCTGGTCTATTATTTCCTTTTTGACTAAGACAGATCATTAATATCTTCAAAAGGATTATAATACTGTTACAAGTGACCATGAGTCCTTTCTATTAAGGCATAACACCGTAGGAGGACAAATAACATGTAGAACATGATACCAAAACAATATGGTTAATTTTTAAAGACATTAGCTCCCACAGTATAGCTGATTTTCAAATAGCATTTGGTAACATTGCATTGCTTATTTTAAAAGACCATAAAGATGAGGAGGGCAAGGAGGAGGTAAGAATTTGAATTTTTCTATAAGAGAATTTTAGCAAGTTAACAGATCTTTTCTCCAATACAGCTATATTTCTATAGCAGGTTACTTTGAGTCCTGTTCCTATTGACATAGCTTAAAATGTATCTAAACTAGTCCCCCAACACTCTCTATTCTCTTATTTTGTCTTATTTCTTTTTCTCATAGCCTTATTATGTAAAGTACAAAGGTCCTGGGACACCTGGGTGGCACTGTCAGCTGAGCGTCTGACTTTGGCTCAGTTCATGACCTTGCGGTTCATGGGTTTGAGTTCCATGTTGGGCTCTGTGCTGATAGCTTAGAGCTTGGAGCGTGCTTTAGATTCTGTCTCCCTCTTTCTCTCTGTCTCTTTCCCACTTGTGCACTCTCTCGCTCTCTCGCCGGTGCTCTCTCTCTCAAAAATAAATAAACATTAAAAAAAAAAAATACAAAGCTCCCAACATTGATTCCTTTGCTTATTGTCCATCTTCTAGATCTAGAATGTAAAGCTACATAAGTTCCCAGCACCTAGAACAGGACCTAGCACCAAAAGGTAGTCAATAAACATTTGTTGAATGTTGGAAAATGAAAGAATTAATATATTTATAATTTAATTAGTTCCTCAAAGAGGTGATAATATCTGATTAATTTAGAGTGTTTATTAACGTTTTTTGGACAAAACTCAGCATTGTAGGTCAACTCTGCCAATCATTAAAGATGATAACTCATCAATCTTGTATATTTACCGAGAGCGATGCTTAGTCAACATCAGCAATAAAGTAAATGAAGTTAATAACAGCATTTTCCATTTAGAATTCATTCTCTCCTAGAAAAAAAGAAGAGGAGAAAAGGAATTATTTGGAAAGTAAGAAACAACTTCCTTGCTATCTTCTAATAACTAATTAATTATGTAATTAATTTATGGAAATTTGGCTGATTCTAGAATGCTTGGCCTTAGGAAGAAGGCAGCCCTAGGAAAACCTAAATCGTGTGTGGAGTGCCTGCAAAAATCTCCCTCAGGATGCCAACTGATACTTCTTAGATTCGGTGCAGTGTCTGTAATGTTCCTTTTCTATGTCTTTATCAAAGTCCACCCTGAATGAGGAAATTCAATAAAACTCTCATTCTATTTCACTTGTGCTTCTCTGAAAAGAAAATGAGGTCCTTATGAAGATGTTTTTATGCACTGGAATATATTCCACCCCCAAAGTTGATTTTTATGTGGTTTTTTTCTCACAAAGATATTGAGACTAATAATTTATTCAAAGACTGTAGGACAAGTAAACTAAAAATATATATGAGCTCTTATAAAGGTATATTCTTGAAAACAGTGATTAAAAATCTAAAGTAAGGACATTAAGCCCTAAAATGGAATGCTTGGCTCTAGGTAATGCTCTGAGCTTATGTTAAAGATGTCAAATAGGATTTCTGCTTACTCATGGGCACCTGGCTGATTCAGTTGGTAGAGCATGTGACTCTTGATCTTGGAGTCGTGAGTTTGAGCCCCATATTGTGGGTCATAGAGTTTACTTAAGGGGGAAAAAGGATTTCTGTTCACTAGCATAAATTGATTTTCAGTAGGCACCATCAAAGAACAGGTCCTGCTTTGGGGTTATGTGTTAGAGTAAAATGGAAGTCACTGATATTTGCTTTTGAACACTTAATGGTCAAGATGCTTAGATCTGTACCTTCCAACATGGTGGCCACTAGCACCTGTGAGTAGTGCGTATTTGAAATGTTGCTGGTCCAAACAGTGGAGTCTGCAGACTCATTATGGAAAAAAAATGTAAGCTATCTCATTAATGATTGTTTATATGGACTAAATGTTGAAATGAAATTTTGGATATGGTGAATTAAATAAAATATATTAAGATGAATTTTACTGGTTTACCTTTCTGCAGTGTGGCTCCCAGAGTATTTGAAGTTATAAATGTGGGGGCAACTTTATGGCTCAGTCAGTTGAACATCTGATCTTGATTTTGGCTCAGGTCATGATCTCATGGTTGTGAGATCAAGCCCCAGGTAGGGCTCAGCACTGACAGCATGGAGCCTGCTTGGGATTCTCTCTCTCCTCACTTCTCTGCCCTTCCTCCACTCGGCTCTCTCTTTCAAAATAAATAAATAAACTTAAAAAAAATTAAGTTACAAATGTGGTTTGCATTATATTTCTGTTGGACAGTTCTTCTATAGATAATACCAGACTGGGAAGTCTTGAATTATACATAATTTTAGTGTTCCAGCAATGTGGGATGACCACCTTTTACATTCAAAAACATTAGAATTACCCTATGTGTGAGTTAAGAATCCATCTAGCCAGATTATTTTCTGACAGTGTGCCTTCAATGACATTATTCTTTTTTTTTATGTTTTATTTATTTTTGAGAGAGAGAGAGAGAGGCTGTGTGAGCAGGGGAGGATCAGAGAGAGAGCAAGATACAGAATGTGAAGCAGGCTCCAGGTTCTGAGCTAGCTGTCAGCACAGAGCCTGACGCAGGCCTCGAACCCACGAACCATGAGATCATGACCTGAGCTGAAGTTGGACGCTCAACTGACTGAGCCACCCAGGTGCCCCTTCAATGATTTTATTCTCAAAGGCCAGTAATATGTTGAAGTGTCACCTATTTTGTAAAATATACTTTCAAGGCCAAGGTTTGGGGATGACCCCTATTCGTGATTTTGCCAGATCATCCAACCTTTCATAGTTTCTTCCTAAGAGCCTTACCTTTAGTTTTGGTGATGTAAAAAGAAGTCCTAGGATGTTTCCCAATCATTATATTTTTGGGTTTTCATTAAAAAATCAGATATTGCAAAATACTCACCTGGTGTTTAAATCTTTTGCTAATGGTGATGTCACCAGACTCTTTTGATGATGAAAGCATTTGAAAGTCACAATGATATTGTCATAATGATACGTTTGGTCACAAGTTCTCATTGCTACTAGATGGTAGAACTTTGTCCCATTGGACAAGGATTTTAAAAAATGGTTTGCTTTTTGTTTCTTTTGTTGTCCTTCCTTCCTTCCTTCCTTCCTTCCTTCCTTCCTTCCTTCCTTCCTTCCTTCCTTCTCTTTCTTTCTTTCTTTATTTCTTTCTTTCTTTCTTTCTTTCTTTCAAGTTTCTTTTCTCTCTTTTTTATTTTTAGAGAGAGAATTTATTTTATTTTGAGAGTGAGATGGAGAGGCAGAGAGAGGGAGGAGAGAGAATCCCAAGCAGCTCCATGCTAGTGTGGAGCCCAATGTGGGACTTGATCTCATGAGCCATGAGATCATGACCTGAGCCAAAATCAAGAGTCAGGCAGCTAACCTAGACACCCAGGTGCTCCTTAAAGATTTTATTTTTAAGTAGTTTCTACACCCAACATGGGGCTCAAACTTACAACCCTGAGATCAAGAGTTGCATGTTCAAGGACCTGGGTGGCTCAGTCAATTAAGTGTCTGACTTTGGCTCAGGTCATGATCTCACAGTCGTGGGTTTGAGCCCCCTGTTGGGCTCTGTGCTGACAACTTGGAGCCTGGAACCTGCTTTGGATTCTGTCTCCACCCCTCCCCCACTTGCACTCTGTCTCTTTCTCTCTGTCTCTCTGTCTCTCACTCTCAACTGAATAAATATTTTTAAAACAATTATTTTAAAAAAAGTTGCATGCTCTACTGACTAATCCAGCCAGGCACCCCTTCCTTATCTCTCTTGATAACTGATTTTTACTTCCATAAATATATTTTGCATTGTGTGCTATGTGTATATGAATGACAAAAAAAATGTACACCATCTTTTTCTTCATCGTCTTTTAGGCATTGTCCAATTATCCCGGGTAAAGCTAATCCCTCTTACCCTTTCTTAGAATGTTTTAAAAGTACTTAGTTTTCTGATTATAGAAGTAACACATTTTCATACTATAAAATTGGCCAAGTGCATAAAAGCATAAAAAAAATGATAATCAAACATAATCACCCTCTCCTGAGTTAATCATTCTTAATTTAAGATAGCATGACCTTTAGTATACCCTTCTTTTAAAATAGTCTTTCTTATTGAAACACACACACACACACACACACACACACACACAGCAAAAAATGCAAACAGAGGAAAGGTTATATAATGCTTATCTTCTCCCTCAGCACTGATCTATGGTCCCATCCCCAAGGACAGCCACTTTTCACAGTTTACTTGGGTTTTATTCCATAGCTATTCTGCACCTGTAAGGGCATAAATATTTTTAAAGTGTATAGGTCCCCTTTTCATACAGATTACAGCATCCTAAAATAATTCTTCAGTACTTTGAATATCTCACTTATCAGTATATTTTGAAGATCATTCTGTTACATTTCATACATCTAACTCATTCTTTTGCTGGTGAACTGTGGTTTATTATATGACTATGTCATTTATGTACCCAGTTCTCTATTGGTAGACATTTTGGTTGTTTATTGTCGTTGCCATTATAAGAAATGCCACAGTGGAAATACTTGAATGTGATCTATGAATATATATTGAACTATATCTCAGGATAAATTTCTAGAAACAGAATTGCTGGGTCAAAGGTTATACCCATTTAGCATTTGAGTAAATGTTACCAAATTGTTTTCCAAAGGGGTTGTTCCAGTTTAACTCATGGGTAAGAGTACCCATTTTTATCCTTCCTTATCAATATAAAGTGAGTTGTTAAAGTTTTTGGTATTTGAAAATCTGAGGGTGGGAATTGTATCTTAGTGCAGCTTTCATTTATGTTTGTTTTATTATGACTGATGTTGAACATCTTGCACGTTTAAGAGCCATTGTAATTCCTTCTCTGTAAACTGTCTGTAGCTTTTGTTCATTTTCTGTCAGGTCTCTATCTTTTTGCATTTTTTAATAAGCTTTTTATCTTGGAATAATTGTAGACTTAAAGATATAGTAATTAAGACCATATGGTTTTAAGACAGACACACAGAGCATTGGGACAGACTTGAGTCCAGTAATAGATCTACATGTAAATGGATGATTGATTTTTGACAAATAAGAAAAGGCAATTCATTACTGAATGGATAGTCTTTTAAAAAAATGGATCTAGGACAATTGGATATCCATATGCAAAAAAACTCCAAACAAAACAAAACAAAACAAAAAAAAACAAAGCAAAACAAACTTTGATCAGTACTTTGTACCATGTATAAAAATTAACTAAAAATGGATGACAGATCTAAATATAAAATCAAAACAAATGTATAGTACAAAACAGGAGAAGAAACAGTTAAGACAATGAAAAGGGATCTTCAGATTGCAAGAAATACAGTAAAAAGTGGGCAAAATATTTGAGCAGACATTTAGCAAACAAAACACATTCAGAAGGCAAATAAGCATATGAAAAAAATCATATTATTCTGCAGGCAAATGCAGATTAAAACCACAATAATATACCTCCCCATACCTATTAGAATGGCTAAAATTAAGAAAACTGGCCACACTGAGCATTATGAGGATTGGAGATTTGGAGCTCTCATCCATGGTTGGTGGGAATGTTAAAATGACACAACCACTTTGGAAAAGAATTTGGCAGTTTCTTAACAGTTTAGGCACACACTTACCTACAACCCAGCAATTCCACTCCTAGACATTTACCCAGGAGAAACAGAAGCACATGTCCACAAAAAGAGCTGTTTGTGACCACTCTTGGTATCTTTCTTGGTAGTAACCAAAAGGTAGGAAAAACAAATATTCATCAACAAGTGAACAGATAAGCAAATTGTGGCAATGGAGTCGTACTCGGCACTGATATGTGCAACAACGTAAATGGACCTTCGCATAATGATACTGTGAAAGAAGCCAGGTTTCAAAAAGGGGCACAGACTGTATGAATCTGTTTATATAAAATTCTTAAATATGCAAAACATTGAACCTATATAGTGTACATTTTTACATTTGGGCTACCCAGAAACCTGAACACCCCTCACTTACAGGGAATCTTAAATTCAAGCAACATCAGCATCCTTCTGTCTAGTGTGGAAGTAGAAATAGACAGAAATTTCCTCTTCCGGCCCTTTGCAACTAAACCATGGGCACATGACCTAAACCACCTGGCATGCTAATCAGATTCTCTTACCTGGGATTTTGAACCTTAGCGGGGGTTCAGTTTGAAATTATTTGTGTTAGAATCATGGACTAATGTTCTGGAAGGTGTTTTCAAAGGTATGGAGATCAACAGGGAGATAATGAATGCAGGGATCAGGGTTGGTATTCAAACAGATTATCCCTATGGCGCTAAGGACTATGAACTGTTTCCTTAGTAAACTGTTGCTATTGGTCAGCACTATCTAGTTCTCCCTTCCTTTCCTGGGAAGCCTCTATTTTCTAGCCCAGGGCATTGGATACGTCCAGGCTGGGGCACTGAAAAGCCCCTGCAAGATTCTTTAGTATATCCCCCTGACGCTGTGACTAGGAATGTCATAGATAGCGGACCGTCTGTCTTTCTGGGTCCCCAAGTGACAATATGGAGCAGACTTCCTGGTTCCAACCCTCTCTGGAAATGTAGGGTGAGTGAGAAACTTGGTTTTGTGTTAAGACTACTAAGATCTGAGCATTCAATTTTCTTACCCAACATTCCATTTCATAAATTTTTTTCTTGTTTAGATGAATCAGAATCAGGTTCCGGTGCCAGAGAGAGGGTTGGTTTGTAGGCAGCTACACTCGCGGAAATAGGGGGAATCTAGAATTGATTTTCAGGCCTTGTTTGGGTCTAAAGTCAGTTAAAAAAACCACATTAGTATTCAGAGATCGGTTTCTGGCAGCCTGTGGAGTATGGTAGTAAATAGTTATACTGTCCCTGGGCTCCCATTGAATGAGGTGCTCCTCAAAGGCAAAGGCTTTAGGGCAATAATAGTTTTTGCCATAAAAATATATGATAATGATGACTTATAACACTTATGCACCAGGCACTGAACTATACATATGTATTAGCTTATTTAATGAAATAAGTTAAATGTTAACTTACTCAACAAGCAGGTGAAATGGCTATATTTAATGGCACTAGTGAGCTTAAAAAAAAGCATAAAACCAAAATTAAAATCTACTTTATGACTGCAGCTCCCACCAGATAGCTGTGCCCTTCGTGGTTGCAGTGGGTTCCAGCCCCCCACTGATGACCCTGGCTTCTGGCCTTTGGTATGACCACCTTTTTCCTGGGCCCTTCTGGCTCTTGGAATGGCCACAGCTTCTCAGTTTCTTCACTGTCCCTGTCCCGTCAGCTCCTTAGCAATTCTATCACCTGTGTAACCAGTTCTCAAATTAAAATCCTTCATTTGAAATACCCAGATTTTCCCAATTGGGCCCTGATTGATAATAGTTTCTAAGAGTAGGAGTGCTCTGATATAAATTAATTTTTGTGTATAATAACCCACCCAAACCTGAATAGTTTAAAGCAGTGATGCTTTATTTTTGTTCGTGAGTCTAGGGTCACTTGCTGCTGATCTGGGCCAGGCCTATCTGATCTCAGCCTTGAGTACTCATGTAGCTACAGTACTCTGGTCAGTTGGTTGGGGGCTTGCTGGTCTATATTCATGTGTCTGGCTGTTGGAAAGCATCAACTGGGGCTATGTAAAATGACATGGGTACAGAGAGGGGATAATAATATTTTTTGTGAACTATCTACCAAAGGCCCTAAGAAATAGTCTCTCACAGCAGGATTCTGGTTTTGGGTTGCTCACCTATCTGACTACCATGTAGAATCCTCTTCTACTTGTGGGTTACTAGAAATATGTGGCATTTAGTGACACCACAATTATTTAAATTATCTTATCACTATTGACATTTGATAGGATGTGTACATTGAAGGGAAGACTTCAGGACACTACCTAGCTGCTGTACTCACCATTGTGGTTATAACAAGTACAATGTCTTCGAGGAGGGATGCTGATTCTGACTGTTCCGGAGAGCTTACAGAAATAAAATGTAAGTCTAAAATTTGCAAATCTCAGCTCAAGGCATGGACATAGACCAAGATGGTTCCTTTGGAGCCTGTATGTGTATTTGTGTGTGTGTGCGCGCACACACACACACGCACGCACATGCAGATGTGGTAATAAGGCAGACATAGCTGAGGATAAGGCCCCCAGTTGAATTGTGTGATATATATAATTAGAATGTAAGTTTATATACAACTTCTCAAAGTCTCTTGTGTTAAAAATTAGAGAATTCAGAAACACAGAACCCCTATGTGTGGGTGGATTCATAAGACTCTGGGAACGTGTAATTCTAATCCTTCTGAGCTTCCCTTGTCAGTGGAAACAATTCTTCCTCTTCATCTCTCTGAGAACACAAGTCTTTCCTTACTTTAAACCATAAAGATCTAACCCAGGATAGTTAATTTACCAGGTGATGCCTATTCTCATTGCTTGAAGACCTAATATGTAGAGTCAGAAATGGAGCAAGAATCTCAGATGTCCTGCTAATGCAAATTATGCCCAAAGGTGGAAGAAAAACTCCATAAAAATTCAGGGGCCTGATACATCAGTGACATTTCTGAGGAGCATGTAAGGTTGTTGGCTCTAGGCAAATTACTGCACCTCGAACTACTTATCACCAAGTCAGAGGCATAAATATGCTTAGTGAGACTTTTTGGATGTTAAAGGCAATGTATATTCCACTGGAGCACCACTCTGACCTGTGTGTTGAGAAACCAATTTTGAGTGAATTTTGAGTGAAGCCCAGGGTGAGAGAAGTTTCCATGTAAGGTCTTGTCTGCAGAGCAAGATTCTGTGACCCTTAATAGGTTCATGTAGCAAATATATAGATACTGGATGGGGCATTTTCCATGGCCAGGTAGAGAATGAATACCATGCACATGGGATTCTAAATTTATTTGAACTGTGACCTCTTCTACCCACCATGAACTTAATGCTTTCTGATCCAACAAGAAGCTTGGGTGGATGCAGCTGTAAAAAAATCCATTATCAGTAAAAGTAAGTTCTATGAGACTGGTCTTAGGCAGATTGACAAATTGGTGACAAGAAAGTCTGAAGTCCTTTATGGGCTTCTCAAATAGGGACAGGGTGTAAGGATGTGAGTGTCCCACGAAAATAACTCGCCAAAGAGCAATCTTAGTAGATGAGACTCTCAGTAATCAAATAGAGAAAAATCTGTTCTGTGATGTCAGTGAGCCTCTTACTGCAGCCACCACAGTGCTTTCATGTTGGCCCACATACAAAGTGGCCTTGGTAGCAGAGATGGAGGCTATCCAGTGGCTCAGTAAGCTAGACTTCCTCTCATCAATGACAATACGGCTTTCTCTGCTGGCATCATATGACACCTTTCTTCTGAGGGACTGTCTGGCCCCTGGTGGCATAATGGTTACCTTGGATCTTTTCCATCAGAGAAGGAGAAGAAATTTGTCCCCAAACAAATATATTCTGGGTACGGATATACCTTCCTTTCCCATAGTGCTTCTTCCAGCACCACCACTTGTGAACTTATAGAATGTTTTATTCATTGCCTCTGACAAAGAGAGAGTTTATTGTCCAGTAAGTGCAACAATGGGCTTCTATCCCTGGAATTCACTGGTTTTACCATATAACTCATGACCCAGAAGCAGCTAACTTTATGAAATGGGCTCAGTAACAGAATCAGCTCTAAGACAACACTCTGTGAGGTTGGGGTGCTATTCTAAAGGTATGGGATAGATCTTAAAATAGTAGCCGCTGTATCATATTGTCTTCCTGGAAGCATGAGTCCTGGAACCAAGGAGTAGGAATGTGAGGCTTTCTTTTACAATTACGCCAGATAATCTACTGGAACACTTTTTACTTTCTTCTCTGCAACCGTGGGCTCAATGAGTTTGAAAGACCTAGTGTACAAGGAAACAATGTGATAGTCCTGTTGAATTGGCATCTGAGACTTCCCCTGGCCATTTTGCATTCTCATTGTGCTGAAGCAACAACCAGAGAAGGGGTCTCTACTGGATCAGGGAACTGATTATCAATATGAAAGTAGGTTGCTTCTCCACAGTAGTGGAATGAGGGCTGTATCTAGAATTCAAGGCATTCCCTGGGAGCCTCTTAAACTACTTTATCCGACAGTCCTTGTTAAGAGAAAACTGTGGCAATCCAATGAAGACCCACTAAAGACTCAGATTCTACAAGGAGAAGCTTTATGTCATCTCCCTGGTAAAGAACCCTGTTCAGCTGAGCTTCCAGCAGAAGGTAAGGAATGTGGAATGGGTGGCAAAAGAAAGGAGTGATCAATATGAACTTGACCTTGGAATCAGATACAGAAATGAGAACTGCAGCAGACATGTATATTTTTCTTATATTTATATTATAAACATAAGTATACATTATCATATAAATATACCTTTTTATATGTTAACCAATTATTTTCCCTTTTTCCTTCTCTTACTACATTTCTTTTTTTCTAAATGAGGAGCATTGGTTATTCTTTTCTTTACAATTTAGATCAGAGTTCACCAAACAATGAAGAGCCACATATAGTCCTGAGGGAGAGGACCTCACATCATCCTGGATTCTGGGACATGATGAGGGAAACTATGTCAGGTGGTAGTTTGTGTTTTACCCCTTTGGGTGTGATAACTTATTTATACAAAAGTTGGTTGAGTTTTGCAATGTAGAAACATGAAGTCATTTTATGGGAGTTGGGAGGAGGAAGATGGGAGCTCTGTAGCAACATGGATGGACCATGGTAGCCATTTGTCTTTTTACTCTCAGATTTCTATCTCATTTTCCCCACACTTCCACTCAGTGTGGCAGGGATCTGCATTTCCCAGACTCCATTGCGTCCTACTACTGGAAACACAGGCAGACAGGATAGGAGAAGGAGAAAAGTCTCTGTATTTCTTTCTTGTCTCTGTCTGTCTCTATCTCCTTTGGGTGACATCCTTAGCAGTGACTAGGACTCCTCTTTTTTTGTCTCCACTCATGCCAGGCAGCTCATGCTAGGTTCTGGCTCTTTGTGGACATTCTACAATTTTTCCTTCAGCCTTAGGAGTCCTATTGCCTTCATTAAAATAAAAAATAGGGGCGCCTGGGTGGCTCAGCCAGTTAAACGCCCAACTTCTGCTCAGGTCATGGTCTCACAGTTTGTGAGTTCAAGCCCCACGTCGGGCTCTGTGCTGACAGCTCAGAGCCTGGAGCCTGCTTTGTATTTTGTGTTTCCCTCTCTCTCTGCTCCTCCCCCACTCACATTCTGTCTCTCTCTCTCTCCAAAATAAACAAACACTAAAAAAAATTAAAAAATAAAAATTATGGGTTGCTTCACTCTCCCTTGTGTGACCCTCAGCTCTGTTATGACCTCTTTTGTATGTCCAGTTCCCTGTGTTAAATCTCCACTGTTTAAAATACCAAGGATAGTAGTATCTGTTTTCCGAACTGGATCCTTACTAGTGATAAAATCTTTGTGTGTGCCTGTATGTGTGCATGTGTATGATATAAATCAATTTGTATAAAGTATAAGTGTGGCTGTGTGTGTATTCATGTGGTGTGGCTGTGTGTGTGTGTGTGTGTGTGTAGGTATGGGTACTCATGTGGTGGGTATATAAATGCATATAAACGGAATATTGAGGGATAAATTTTCAAAGGGAGAGTAAAGGAGGGAACTTCAATTTTCTCTGTATCTTTTCAATTTTCTTTTAGTTTTTATAACAAAACAATTTTGTAGTTTTAAAATGTATAGCTCTTTTTGAATGACTGAGTTTCCAAAGTAATGATCCATCCATCTGATGGCAGCTTTAAATCTTTAAAATTTTGCATAGACAGGATATTATTATAGTTGCAAGTGACTTCTTATCCACACCTCTAGATAATCCCCTTTCTTTTTTATTTTTATGTTATTTTATTTATTTTTTAAATTTAATTTTATTTGAAAGAGAGATGGAGAAGAGGCAGAGGGAGGGAGGGGGGAGAGGGAGAGAGAGAGAGAGAGAGAGAGAGAGAGAATCTTAAGTAGGATCCATGCTCAGCACAGAGCTTGATGTGAGCCTTGGAATCATGACCTGAGCTGAAATCAAGAGTTGGACTGACTGAGCCACCCAAGCACCCTGACAGTCCCTTTTCTTAAGCAGTATGAGAAATGTGTGTCTACATAGATCAATGAAAATATTTCAGATTTCATTTTCTTGTGGCAGATTCTATTTTGTTCAATGTAATCCAACAAATAATATTTCCTCAACATTGACACAGGATATGAAATCACTGTGTCTCCATCTAATGTCAATACATTCATTTTGCCACTGCTAGAGTCCATCTTATACAATTCAAAATAAATATGAGAAGTATGAGTACGCCATGTTGGTGGTCTTGCCATGTTGCTAGTGATTTTTTTAGTGCTAAAATTTATCAAGTGCTAATTTCCCAAGGAATAAGACAAAAATGATGCTCTTATTTTCAGATATCTGAAGTGCTATAAAACTACAATTTAACTCTAAGATTTTTATAATCCTTTTTAGCCCAAGAGAGTTTGATATTATGAATATTAATAATACCTGTTCTAGTAGAATCCCAGCAATATTCAGGTGATAAGAGCTTAGCAGGTTTATGGAGAAAAAAATACTTATTTAAGTGGCTTTCATCATGCCATACTGCTTCAATGCTGTTTTTCTTGTCATTCATGATTCCTTTTAAGCACTCCCTGGCAATATTGAGAACTTGGGTAGGAGTGCCACCAAATACAGCAGCATGGTAATAAAAATCTCCCATGCCAAGAGGTATATATGCTTCTGATAACTCACTTCTTTCATATGGCACATTTATCAGATCTGCCTTGTACCAGTAAGCATGTAACTGAGCTACTGACTCCCCTAGAGTCTCCACGCCATATTTCCTTATGAAGACTTGATCTACATCCATGCAGAAGAGAAAGTCGACTTCATGTTGGATATGATCTACAACATGTTCACTAATAGTCTTCATGCGCATCATGCTGACATCTTGCCATCTCTTCTCTCGCTTAATTTCAAACACTTTGATTGTACGGAGGGGACTCAGCTGTATCCAAGGCATCCTGGAGAAGTTGTCTATCAGGACATAAATTATGACTTTATGGCCAACCATAAAAAACGTATCTGCAGATAATATAAATTCCCTCAAATAGTGGTCAATGTATCTGTGAAGTAAACAAGAAATGATTAAGTTCTTTGTCTTCCATTGCAGTGGAACGCATACTACTTAAGTTACACTGGCCGTAGTTTGTCCAGAAATGCTAGTAGGCAAACTAAATATTAGATGCACTTCTTGAGTTATATTTAAGTAGTGTAAAAGAAAGTGAAATTATCTGCCTTTCCTCTCTCTAATGGGGTTCTGTGGATCATGAGAAAAGAGGACTTCTTCACGAGGGAGAATGAAATATGGTGAGATCAGTAAATGGCACAGAGCCCCGTTGCCAGAGTCTTAAGGGTTATCGGAGAAGTAGGAACTTGTGTTGGGGATTGTAGGCAAGAAGGTCTTGGGTCCTTGCACGAGCAGTGATTGATGTGTGTGGATTGCTTTATGAGGAGGAATTTATGAGGAGTCAGTGATGCAGAAAAGGTCAGAGGCAGCATGGTCAGTACCCGTACTATCTGCACTGTCTTATTTTGCCTTGTGGCCTTCAGTATGGTGCCAAGCTTGCTGGATTAGAAAACAAAACTTTCTCATTTCCGGTCTCTCCAGCCAGTGAAAGATCCTCTGAGTAACAAATGGCCTCAGTAAATTCAATCATACATGCCTCTGCTTCAAATAATATTTATATAATCATTAAAAATAAGTTCTAGATATTGATCTAAGTTTTAAGAAACATAGCAGATGGAGTTGGGAGAAAACTTTCTAGTTTGGAATATCTGAGTTATGGTAATTTAATAATTAAAGCAAGATAAATTATGAAAAATACCTCTTAAAATATTCTACTGAGTTGGAAGCTAGCAACTCAGATACAAAGAAATACAATTCATCCACATTTTTTTAATGGTTAGTGCTTCTTGTGCCATGTTTCAGAAATCATGGTCTCCTCACAGTAGTGAACATATGCTCCTATATTTTCTTCTAGTTGCCTTATTGTTTTAACTTTCACAGTTAAGTCAGGTATCCATTTGAATTAATTTTTGTGTATGGTACAAATAGGGCTGTTTTGTATTGGTCTTAGCCTTTGATAGTAATTCTATTGGCCAAGAATGCCTGGGACTCATGTGGGCCCCTGCTACTTGTGGTGAGACCCCCCCACGGACATTTCCCCTACCAGCCAATGTTGTGGCTGGACCAGCCCACACTTACAAGATGCTCCTCAGCAACAACCATCAGAAAACTTTGAGAAAATGAGGTTTCTTACAAGTCCTGGAGGGTACAAAGTAAGCACAGGGCCACAGAGTGAGGTCTTAGGTAAGGAGAAAGAAGGGGCTAGTCCTTGGGGGTTCTGCTTTTATTAGGCTGGGGGATGGGGTGCCAAGGCTTTCACAACTCCACTCATTATTGCAGAATTTGAAACCTAAGAGCAGAAATGAAAGTGCAGGAAGGAAAATATGGGGTCCCTCAAGTGGTCAGTTACATAGGTTACCCAGGCCTTTCTAAAAGGGGAATTTCACAGGAGGGCCAACCTGGCTCTTTACCTAGTTGTTTAGCTGGTGACCAATCAGGTCACAGCCCGCAACATGTTTATTTGAGTTGGATGTCTTTGAAGTGGGTGCCTCAGTAATCAAAAGTTTAATGTCAGGTATTTACAAGAAAAAAAGATTATCATCAGGCACTTTCACTACAATGGCAAACTTATTTTTTTTTTCAAGTTTTTGAAAACTTTCTATTTTGGAATGACATTAGATTTATGGAATAGGTGCAAATGTATTATACAGAGTTCCCATATACATTTTATGCATCTTCCCCTAATGTTAGTATCTTATATAACCATAGTACATTTGTCAAAACTAGGAAATTATCAGTGGTTAAATACTATAACTTAACCACAGATTTTATTTTTATTTCACCAGTTTTGCCCCTAATGGCCTTCTAGTTTTCAAGATCCAATCCAGAGTACACATTACATTTAGTCATTATGTCTCACTAAGCTCTTCCAGTCTGTCTCCATTTCTCTCCTTGTCATTCATGATCCTGACCATTTTGAAGAGTACTGATCAGGTATTTTGTAGAATGGCCCTCAGTTTGGGTTTTCCTGATGTTTTCTTAGGTAAAGTTAATTTCAGTACGGTCACATTATCAACCTCTTCCTTTATGATTAGTATTTTCTGTATCTTGATGAAGAAATCCTTTTCTGTCTTGATTTCATGAAGATATACTGCGGTTTGCCCTTTAAGTTTGAGTCTTTAAACTACCTGAGAATTATGTTTGTATATGCTTGTGTATGGTATGCCACAGAGAGGTGCAATTGTGGTTTTTCCATGCCGACGTCAACTTTCTCCAGCATCATTTATGAAAGTCTTTCCCTACATATCCACAAAGTCATGGCCACGGTCTTTCACACTTGCATGGGCATTTCTGCTTAATTATATTGGCTTCTTTGTTCATCCCTGGATGATTGTGAATTTTATTGATTTTTTTTCAAAGAACCAGCTTTTTGATTCTTTGATTTTACTCTATGGCTTTTCTGTTTTTAGTTTCATGGATTTCTGTTTTCATCTTTACTATTTCTTTACTTCCGTTGACTTTGGCTTTATTCTGTTCCATTTTTTCTAGATTCTTGAGGCATGATAATTGATAATCTCCTATTTTCTATAATGAAAAGCTTGAATGTAAAGGATATTTGGCAGTACCTACCCTCCTACGGCAAACACAGTCAACCCCATGGTAATTTTATGCTTTGCATAATAGTGTTCCAATATTTCTTCATTGAAAGTGCCATGCCACACAACTGGAGCTGACCAGTTGGTGGTGGTCAGGTTCATGGATTGACTGTAAGAAAGACATAAGAATTATTAACAAGATACCTTTTAATAAAACTGTAGTAGATGTTACTAATGTATAAAGCCTCTGCGGCATTTCTTTATGCCTAACTCAAAGCCTTGATGGTTATGATAAACTAGAGAAACAGCTTGCCAGAAATGGCCAGATCATTACAAAAGTACATGTACAGATTCATTATACTGTGATTCCAAGATCTTTGAGGACACAGTTACAATGTCACCCAAAGTCTAAAATATCATTATCTCTTATATTTTGGACAAAATCTCCTGGTCTTGGGCTTTTTGACTATAATTATTTTCAGAGACCATATTTTGAAAAATGATCTTCCTAGGTTCATAATCTAAAATGCTACCAGTGCTAATATTACTGCATACTGTCAGAATCAACTTTGTTAGAACTCTGGAAGGTAGCCAAAAATTTAGAGCAATCAAACAAAAGTTAAAAAAAAAAAAAAAGACTCAACATAATAGAAGGAAAACTGTGGTATTTTAACTTAGTCTTGCACCAACTTGCTCCCAGTATGGCAGTGGTGTTGAAAACAGCAAACCATGTTCTCAGTTTGAGTATCTGCTTTGGGATGGAGAAGAGTGGATCTAATTCCAAAGGAAATATGGTTCTCCATTTTGACCTGAGAGTTCCCCAAAGGATTGGACTCTTAGTGCTTCCTTTTGTTTCACTTAACTCAGAACTCTCTCAAAATGGAAAAGTGGCTAAGTAGAGGGAAATTCTTGAAACCATTTTAAAAAGGAACAAGCCCCTGCCACCTGAAGCAAGAAATTACAGTTGGAATAAACACTAGATATGCTGAAAGTCTTGGAGGAAAAAAAATTGGAAGAGAGTTCTTTGAAAAGTAAAGGCTTTGGACAAGATCCCTTGTATAATGAGGAATTAAGAAATCCATGCACATGTTCAGGGCAGGTTACATGCTCAGAAAAGATCCCTGAAGATCCTAAACTTTCACCTCTGGCTGATATTTAGACTCAGTGCAAGCAGGAAGTGAAGGCTAAGGCAGAGTTGTAAACAGATCAGCTGTGTTGAAGGAGGGCCCAAACACAGAGCCAATCTTCAAAGACTGTAAGAGGGTTCTTTTTCACCCCTTCCCTTCCCTTCCCTTCCGTTTCCTCTCCTTCCCTTCTTCCTCTTCTTCCTCCTCCTTCCCCTCCCCCTCCTCCTCTTCCTCCTCCAATAACCCTCCAATCACCACCATCACCACCATGGCTCCAGGTATTTAAGGATATCTCTAACAAACCACTAGCTGATGACAAGCTAAAGGAACAGGGATCTCTCAGACCCAACAAGACAAAGAATACAGTCTTTAAAAATAGTCTGGAAAAGTCGTCAAACGGACAAATAACTACAATCCACAGCAAGCAAGAACAACAAACTCTGAGGAGGCAAAAGAATCTGAATTCCAAAGTGACCACATTATAATATCCAAAATGCCTAGTTTTCAACTAAAAATTATGAGGCATGCAAGGAAACAAGAATGTATGGTCCATTGACAGGGGAAAAGAATTAACAAAAACTGTCCCTGGAGAAGCCCAGACATTGGGCTTACTAGAACAAGACTTTAAATCAACTATTTTAAATAAGCTGAAAGAGCCAAAGAAAACCATGGAAAAAGAACTAAAGGAAATCAGGAGAACAAAGGGCTTAACAAACAGAGAATGTGAATAAAGAGATAGAAATTATAAAAAGGAACCAAATAGAAATTCTGGAGCTGAGAAGTATGATAGTTGAAATTAAAAAACAAAACAAAACAAAACAAAAAAAAACTTGCCATAGGATTTCAATCACAGACTTGAGCAGACACACATAGAACATTTTAATCAACAACAGAATACATATTCTTCTCAAATACACATGAGATATTTTCCAAGATAGATCATACGTTAGGCCATAATACAAATCTCAGTAAACTTAAAATGGTTGGAAACATACAAACTCTCTTTTCCACTGACAGTGGAATGAAATTATTAACAGAAGGCAATCTGGAAAGTTCACAAATAAATGGAAATTAAAACACTCTTAAACAACCAATGGGTCAAAGATAAAAACCACAAAGGGAATCAGAAAATACATTGAGAGGAATAAAAATGAAAATACAACATACTAAAACTTATGGGATGCAGTGAAAAGCAGTACTCATAAGGAAATGTATAGCAGTAAACATCTGTATTAAACAAGAAGAAAGATATCATATTGATAACCAAAACTTCCACCTTAAGGACCTAGAAAAAAGTAGCAAACTAAACCCTAAACAAGAAGAAGGAAGAAATAATAAGTACTGGAGCAGAGATGGCTAACATAGAGGAAATGAAAAACATGATAGAATTAATGAAGCCAAAAATTGGTTATTGGAAAATATCAGTAAAATTGGCAAATCTTTAACTTGATTGACCAAAACCAAAAATCCAGAAATGACTCCAATTATTAAAATCAGGAATGGAATTGAGGACATTACTACAGACCTTACAGATAGAAAAAACATTATAAGAGGATGCTATGAGCAACTGTACACAAACTTAGTAGATAACATAGATAAAATGGGCAAATTCCTAGAAACACACAGACTACCAAAAAGAAATAGAAAAATTTAATAGACCTGGAACAAGGCAGTAGAATAAATGAAAAGAATTGAATTGGTAATCAAAAATCTCCCAACAAAGAAAAGCCCAGGACCAGATGGCTGGTGAATTCTACCAAATATTTAACATATCAATACCAATCATTCTCAAAGTCTTCCAAAGAAATTGAAGAGGAGAGAGCATTTTCTAACTCATTCTATGTGGTCAGAATTACAAAAGCCAGGAAAAGACACCTCAAGAAAACTTTAGACCAATATCAATTATGAATAAAGATGCAAAAATCCTCAACAATATATTTATAAACTGAATCTGGCAGCATATTAAAATCTGAAGTGAGATTTATTCCAGGAATGCAAGCTGGTTCAACCTACAAATACCAAAAACAAAACAAAGCAAGACAAAACTATACAAATACCAATCAGTGTAAAACACCATATTAATAAAATGGAAGGAAAAACCACATGATCATCTTAATTGATGCAGAAAAGGCATTCGACAAAATTCCCACAATACTGCATGATAAAAATACCCAACGAATTAGGAATAGAAGGGAAATTCCTCTGCATGATAAAGGGCATCTTATGTAAAACTCACCGTTGACATCATACTTATTTTTGAGAGACTGAAAGCTTTGCCCCTAAAATCAGGAACAAGACAAGGCTGTCTGTTTTATCTACTTCCTTTTAACAATGTACTGGAGGTTTAGGGCAGTTGGGCAAGAAAAGGAAATAAAAGATATCTAAATTGGAAAGGAAGAAGTAAAACTATCTCTACTAACAGAAAATTCTAAGCAATCTACCAAAAAAAAAAAAAAAACAAAACACAACCACAGCCAACTATTAGAACTAGTAATTGTTGCAGGACACAACATCAACATGCAAAAATCATTGATGTTTCCATACACTAGAAATGTGTATGGAAAATAAAATTAAGAAACATTTTTATTTACAAAGGAACAAAACGAATAAAATATTTAGGAATACACACAACCAAAGGAGGTGTAGGATTGGTACAATGAAAACTACAAAGCATTATTGAAAAAGATTAAAGAAGGCCTAGATAAATGGAGAGACATCCATGTTTATGGATTGGAAACTTAACATTGTTAAGATGGCAAAGTTAAAGTGCCCCAAAGTGAGCTACTGATTCAAGGCAATTCCTACATGGAGTGTGTTGAATAGTAACCCCTTCCCCACCCATTCAAATCCACTTGGAATTTTAGAATGTTACCTTATTTAGAAATAATGTCTTTTGCAGATGCAATTAATTATGATGAGGTCATTCTGAATTAGATTTGGCTTGTGAATCCAATAACAGGTGTTCTTTTAAGAAGATAAAAGGGCATATAGAGGAGAGATACAGACAAGGCCATGTAAAGACAAAGGGGGAGACTGGAGCTGAGCTTTCACAAGCCAAAGAATGCCTGGGGCCACCAGAGGCTTCAAGAGGCAGGAAGAATTCTTCTCTTGGGCTTTAAAGGGAACAAACATGGCCTGCTGACACCTTGATTTTGAATTTCTGGGGGTGCCTGGGTGGCTCAGTCGGTTAAGCGACTGACTTGAGCTCAGGTCATGATCTCACAGTTTGTGGGCTCGAGCCCTACGTCGGGCTCTGTGCTGACAGCTCAGAGCCTGGAGCCTACTTTGGATTCTGTGGCTCCCCTTCTCTCTGCCTCTCCCCTGTTCATGCTCTTCTCTCTCTGTTTCTCAATAATAAATAAATGTTAAAAAAAAAATTTTTAAAAAGATTTTGGATTTCTGGACATCAGAGTTGTGAAAAAATTAATTTATGTTGTTTCAAGTCACACAGTTTTGGCAATTTGTTACAGCAGCCCTGGGAAGCTAATATACTATCAATTTTCTTACTGCCAATTTAATTAATTAAATTAAATTAAATTTGATTATTTTTGCTGAAAGGCATAAACTGAGCCTAAAATTCATAAGGAGTTGTAAGGGACCCCAAATAGCCGTAACAATCTTGAAAAAGAAAAACAAAATTGGAGGATTCATACTTCCTGATTTCAAAACTTACTGCAAAGATACAATAATCAAAACAGTGTGTTATTGGCATAAGGATAGACATATATAGATCAAAGGAATAGAACTGAGTATGTAGAAAACCCATACAACTCTGATCAGTTAATTTTAAATAAAAGGTGCCAAGACCATTCAGTGGGGAAAAATAGTGTTCTCAACAAATTGTGCTGGGACAAATGGATATCCACATTTAAAAAAATGAAGTTGGACTCTTATCTCCCACTGTAAACATTAATTCAAAATGGATCAAAGACTTAAATATAAGAGCAAAAATGATAAAACTCTTAGAAGAAAACTACAGTAAATTTTCATGATTTTGGATTTGGCAATCATTTCTTAGATGTGACACCTAAAGCACAGTCATCAGAAGAAAAAAAATTAGGTAAATTAGACTTCAGCAGAAAAATTTTCTGCATCCAAGGACATTAACAAGAAAGCGGAAAGGAGACCCACAGATAGAAACTGACATTTTACAAAAGTAAAGATCCAAGTGGCCAATATTCATGTGAAAAGGTATTTAACCTTGATGGTCATCAAGGAAAAGAATGAAAACAGAATGAGAATTGATGTACTGTTGGAAGAAAAAGATTCTATTGGGGCACCTGGGTGACTCAGTCAGTTAAGTGTCCAACTCTTGGTTTCGGCTCAGGTCATGATCTCTTGGTTTTGTGGGTGTGAACCTCACATCAGGCTCTGTGCCGACAGTGTGGAGCCTGCTTGGGATTTTCTGTCTCCCTCTCTCTCTGCCCCTCCCCAACTCATGCTGTCTCTGTCTCTCTCAAAATACATAAATAAACTTAAAAAAAAAAAAGATTCTATTAACTATTTCAGAACCTGTTATGGACTGAACGCTGTTTCCCCCAAATTCATATGTTGAAGCCTTAATCCCCACTGTGGCTACTTGGAGACAGGGGCTTCAGAGAGGTAATTAAGGTTAAATGAGGTCATAAGGGCAGGGCCCAAATTCAATAGGACTGGTGTCCTTAAAAAAAGAAGAGATACCATGGATGCTTGCAGATGCTGGTGCACAGAGGAAAGTCCCAGTGAGGACAGGAGAGCCCAGGAGAGAGGCCTCAGGGTAAACCAAACTTTCTACACCTTGACCTTCCACTTCTAGCCTTCAGAAGTGGGAGGAAATAAATTTATATTAAGCCCCCCCAAAAAATGCAGTGGAAACTGAATTTTATCGGTTGCCAATTTGGAATCTGAGTAAATGATTATATGGTTTTCTCCTTTGTTCAATTGTTTATGATGAATCATCATGCTGAGTTACAAGGATATGCCTTACTTGTCTCGTGAGCGGGATCCTGTGCCAGTTATTAACCTAACATCTTTCATGACTAAACCCACCGCACTATAGCGGGCTTTGTTATACTGAGCCAGGACTCTGCAAACCACATCTCTCCCTTGCCAGCAGGCACCCTGTTAGGCTCTGCTAACAGAGGGCACTCGAGGAAAATTACAAGCCTGGGGGAAGAAGGAACTTGCTCTTTCCTGTTTCCTGGGGGCTCCTTGCCTGCCTCCCCTGTAAGACTCCACCACCGAGATACAATTCCATCTGGATCCAGATTTCAGCTTTTCCAGCACTGGCAAACCCAGCCTCACTGTGCCCCTCCCTAGAGGTCTGGCTCCTTGTTCCAAGAGGCTTTTCTGGAGCTTGGTGGTACTAGCACCAAGTGAATGTGTCTTAAGCCTACTGAGTTTAAGCTCTCCAAGTTTCTAGGGTTTAATAATTTTGGCCTCTTACTTCTGTTTCTTGGGCCCTAGGGAAAATAGTTACTTCCTGTGGTTGTTGCCTGCATGACACCTTAGAATTCTCTTTTCAGACTTTACAGGTACCTAGTTAACAACTTCATATTAGTTAACAATTCTTTGTATGAAATTGTTTTTTTTAAATAATCAGTGTGCTTTATGTGTCCTGGTTAGATCTGATAAAAGTTATAATGTCGTAGGAGGATGGGTCATGGGCCATTATCCAATCATGATCTTGGCTAGATGTCTCCTTTCAAAGTTTTAATTCAGACAAGCACTGAAGCCCTGTAGCACCAGGGAGAAAGACAGGTACGTCCAGTAAGGAGAGGCAGGCAGAGAAGCCAGTGGAAAGCTGTTGTATTAAAGTGTGAAGTCCAGATGACCCATCTATCTGTCCCATCTATTTGGCTTTGGTTCCCTCATTGGCGAAATGAGGAGAATCCACCAAATGATCAAACATACACCCTTCACATTTTGACCTGCCATAACATTAGGGCTACTGGGTTTCTGTCATCTCTACTCTCTATTATGGAGGAGGTGAGCCTTAATGTCCATTGGGACACCGCTTATTTTTAAAAATGTAATCAAAGATCCAACTGCTGCCCAAACTGTGTTTGATTTGGAGTTCTTACCTGGGAGAAAACCAGTCTGATAGCTTTAATTCCTTTGATGGACTGTTCACAGACCTAGCAGAAGAAATAATGCAAAGAATCACACTATATCTGGTTGAGCTTGAGATAATTGAATGTCTACCAAATCAAAGGCTTCATGATGATATGATGTAAAATGCAAGATAAGCATGGAGCAATAAGAAGAGCGATGATGAACTTTGATGGTAGTGGCATGGAAAATCATGATTTCTAACCTTGACTTAGTCTCTGTGCTGCCCAGAAGTCTTTGTGTGTTTCTACAGTGCTCATTCTCCTTCTTCTCACTGATAGAGAAATAGCAGTATCACATGAACCCTCCCTCAATTTTCTGCCACCTTGCCTCCAAATTTATCTAGAGTATTGATTTTCCCCCCTCTATTGTACTGGAAATAGCTCCCTCCTATCTGTCTAAGTTTAGCCTTAAATATTCTGGCTTCTCAGGAGCCCTGATTTGAGAATTATTCTGAGAGATTTTTCCTAGGTTTTCTATTTGATCAATTGACATGCTTGCGGGCATTTTCTTGTGGCTTCAAATTTGTATGTGCAATTAGACTTCTCCCGGGAATTTAAGACTCAGACATCCAACTGTGTTCTGAAGTCTCCTGCTTGAAGTTTGCACAGATACCACAAGATGAAGATGCTCAGTGTGAAAGTCATCATGACTTCCCCAAAGTAGGTCCTGTTCAAATGTTGCCTTATCTCACTGGATCCACGTGGATTGGCAAGCCAGAAGTGTGTGAATCATTCTACACTCAGAGCACTCTCTAAATCCCAACTTCAAATCTGTCTTTAAACCCTGCTGGTTTTACCTCCAAAACATCGCTCACATCCACTCCTTATCTTCATTCTCTTCCACCACATGACTCCAAGTCATGGTCATCTCTTACCCGGGCTACTGCAATCATCTGCTAATTGGTCTTACTGTCTGTACACTTTAACCAAGACTTTGTAGCATGAAAAATGTCAAAGGTATGCAGGCTGAAAGAGAATAGTATAATGAACCTCCATATTCCCATCCCAAATTAACACTGTGATACCCTCTCTGCCTGTCTTTGTTCTGGCCCTTTTCAACCCATTCTCCATATGTCCACTCTGCTTCCTCTATCATGTTTCTGAAGCTCCAGGGCTCCCATGTTATTATTGTTTAACAGCATTCAATGCCTTTCCATTGGCCTAAGGATCATGTCCACACCCCTTATATGGCCATAACATTCTGCATGATCTGACCCTTCACCCTGTTCCAGCCATTTTTCCTACTTGGCCCCTCAATTAGAATGTTCCAGACTCACTGGCCTTTTTTTTTTTTTTTTAATTTTTTTTTAATGTTTTATTTATTTCTAGGAGAGACAGAGAGAGAGAGACAGCGTGAGCAGGGGAGGGTCAGAGAGAGAGGGAGTTACAGACTCTGAAACAGGCTCCAGGCTCTGAGCTGGCAGTCAGCACAGAGCCCGACGTGGGGCTCGAACCCACGAACCGCGAGATCATGACCTAAGTGAAAGTCGGATGCTTAACTGACTAAGCCACCCAGGCGCCCCGCTCACTGGCCTTTTTAAGTTTCCTTAAACAAGCCACACTTCAACCAGCTAATTCCCAAACAGCCTTTAGGTCTTATGTGTTTATTTTATTTTCAAGAGAGAGAGAGACAGAGCATGAGCAGGGGAGGGCCACAAAGAGAGAAGGAAACACAGAATCTGAAGCAGGCTCCAGGCTCTGAGCTGTCCGCCCAGAGCCTGATGCAGGGCTCAAACTCACAGACTGTGAGATCATGACCTGAGTGGAAGTCAGACACTTAACTGACTGAGCCACCCAGGTGCCCTATACGTCTTATTTTAAATATCCTCACCTAAGGGAAGTATTCCCTAACCTACTAGGTGAGATTAGATTCCTTTCATTAATAGCTAACACTTACGGAATACTTTCCTGAGTATTATCTAATTTAATCTACCCCTATGATATAGGTACTGTTATTGTTATTGTTATTATCCTCATTTTACTAGACAAGGAAACTGAGGCACAAAGAGTTATTATTCTCTCATCCATAGTCACATACCAGGTGGAAAGACTAACAGTTAGCCAGAGTCCTTACTTCCTCCTTGCCATAAACTCTAATGGCACCTGGGCTAGCATATCTTTGGAGAGTTGATCCTGGGCTGAGTTAACGAGGGGCAGCTGTGGAGCTGAGTCATATGTCATAAGTCCATCTTTGTGCCTGTGTACACTGATAGAAGCACTCAGTGTCCAGGGTGTGATTGAGACATAGCCTTCTACACAGGTACCCGGCTCATTGACAGCAAAGCATTTGGATACTGAGTATTAGTGTGTTAAGGCTATAGAATCCTGATGCGAAGAAGAGCTGATATTAAGGATGGAATGGTTGTCAGATTGTGTTGCATTGTGTACATTTTACCAGAAAATACTTTAATTCATTCTTTCTTCCAGGCTCTGCTGCAGCAGACCTTTCTTGCATATTTCCACCTTTGTCTACTGGTTTTCCTGCTGTTTTCAGGGGTTGAGAGTTACCGCCCCCTGTTAGCCATGGCTCTGGATGGGGGAAACATACCCTCCCCTGAAAACCATCTTATTATATTATTTTCACTCACAGAGCAGCCCACCCACATGTAGAGTCCTGGTCTTAGTGAGAGTGTTGTACAGCATAGAACCAGCTGAGACAAGGCCCTTGGACACAATAAGCATCAGAAAGGAAGTTTCTTTCACTTCATTAAGAGTTTGGGTCTTACACAATCTGTGGGGAAGTTTTCTTCTCTGCATACATTCTGATGGCATGAAATTATAGGTGGCCTGTGGTTAATACAATCTCCCAAGAATCTTTTAGCTGAAACTTTCTCCTGTGTGATTTTCCAGAGCTTTAAAAGACCTAAGCTTCCTGGAAGCTGAGTTCTGGTTCCTGTAACACGGTTCCCCTAACCACTTCTAAGTCCTCCATTACAGATAGCACTGCGCCAGTCTGCTCTAGTACTCTGACCTTAAAGGAGCATCTCCAACACACGTGTCTAAAATTGCTTTGGTTTACCGTGCCTGGAGGAAGCAAAGACTTGCAGGTACTCCACTGCCCTCCAACGGGTTTTATCCTTAAGGAAGAGGTCATAGCATATTTGTAAATAAGACTTACCAGCACCGGTATATCCTCAGTAGTTTCTTTGTGCTTAGGGTAAACAAAAAGCATTACATTACTTTAAACTTACATAAAAAGTTTCCATATTTAAGATGACTGGAGTTATACTCCAGCAATCCGTTCATTTTATTACTTAACCTTACCAAATATTCAGTGAACACATAATATGGACAAAATATTTGTGTCTCCCTTAAATTTGAATGTTGACATTCTAACCCCCAACATGATGGTATTAGGAAGTAGGGCCTTTGAGACATGATTGGGTTATTAGGTTAAAGCCCTCCATGAATGGAATTAGTGCTTACAAAAGTGATAACAGTGATTATCACTTACAAAAGTGATAACAGAAAATTCCCTTGTCCCTTCTACCACGAAGGACATAGTGAGAAGGTGGCTGTCTATGAAACAGGACAGCAAGTCCACCAGTGCCTTGATTTTGGACCTCTCAGCCTCCAGAACTGTGAGAAATGAATTTCTGGTGTTCATAAGCCATCCAGTGTATGGTATTCTGTTACGGCAGATCAAACGGACTAAGATACAGACCATGTGTCAAATATATTATTGGTTGCAGAGATACAGTAATGAACATGATAAAAAAAAATCACTACAGTTAAGGACTTCACACACTATGTCTTAAAAAAGAAAACCTAATTCTTTGCATTATAAATGAAAGAAAAACTTAATACCATTGAAACCATGGAGTTTGCTAATTGCCAATGAAATCTTTCTACTTGTGTAAATATGTAGAAGGCAAATACCATACATAGTGCCACAAGTCACCAATATTAGGGATGTTTCTTTAAAAAGATGCTGCCTATTTAAAAATGGCAGTTTCGGGGCGCCTGGGTGGCTTAGTCGGTTAAGCGTCCAACTTTCGCTTAGGTCATGATCTCGCGGTTCGTGGGTTTGAGCCCCGCGTCGGGCTCTGTGCTGACTGCCAGCTCAGAGCCTGGAACCTACTTCAGAGTCTGTATCTCTCTCTCTCTCTGACCCTCCCCTGCTCACGCTGTCTCTCTCTCTCTCTCTCTCCTAGAAATAAATAAAAAAATATTAAAAAAAAATAAAAATAAAAATGGCAGTTCCGCCAATATTTACTAACTGCCTTAATTACACGGTTACTGTCTTGTTGGCTTAACATTGCTTGTCCTCACACATACGGGCCTACAATTATGTTTAGCTTTGTTTCCATTAGAAACTAAGACCTTTTATGCTGAAGGTTGTGTTTATGTTGACACAGTTAAATGCTGTTGGATATTTTGGGGTATGTTGGATTGATACATTTCGATGCTGATTTTATTCAGGGGGTTAACCTATCATCTTTCTGACATAGTAGATCTTTATCAAACCCCAGAGTAAAATATTCATTAATTTTTAAAAATTACCTAGGATGATACTGTCTGTGCAAAGCCCATAGAAACAATAAAAGTAGTAACAGTTGAGTTGTTTTTCTTCTGTATTTCATCCTTTCCTAAGAGGAAAAAGAAACAGATAAAGGTAGATTAAATATAGTGCAATGAATACAGAGTAAGCTGTGTTGAATTATGACTCTCCATGACTTTAACTAGATGACTTAATAGATATTGGCTAGGATTTAAGGCACCTCTGGTCCTTGGATGTCTCTCTATATGAAAATAGAGTTTTAAGCCTGTGGAGACACTTTGCATGGGAGCCAGCTGCCCAAAGCCAGGACATTAGCTGTCTAAGCTGGCCTTGATGCAAGAGATTTTATAACCTTCATTTGTCTTCTCTAGATTACACAGGGATTTTCCTACAGAAAAGAAAAAATACCAATGCCACTTGCCAGCCTAACTCACAGAGGGGGGTGTCAGAGAAAAGAGATAATTGTGAAAATACTTACTTGGACTTTAAAGAGGTATATAGTTATGAAGGAACTTATTTTTAGTGAAATAGCATTATGAAGTTCATCAAGACAGGTGACAGGACTGATAACAGCATAAAATAATGCTCCTCAAAAGTATTTGAATATAAAATTGATTCCAAACATGGGCTAGAGGCTAACCTATAATGTTTAGATTATTTTCACCTTGACTTGGAATTTTAGCTATCAAGTTTATAAAGCTCCTATGGATGAATTTTGTCTATGTAATATGAAATTGTCTATGCTGTATGAAATTGTGTGCAGAAAAGGAGTTGAATGTGGCTCGATTTGGCTGAAATTAAGGACAAGCTCTTACCTTTTGTTTTCCTAAGATCATCCAGTATTTTTACACAGTTTCTTCCTTGGAGACTCAACATTTATGGTACGGTGGTTTGGGAAAACATGTGGAAAATCTCAAGTGGGCAGACAGTTTTCAAGCAGGACATTCTGAGACCTTTGATAAATCATGAATCAGATACCCTGGTACTGGTTCTTTGGCCCTCCCCAGTTTGCCTCCTTATTATTTCATTCTTCTGGGAATGCTGATGTCACCACATTCTCTTTTGATGATGAAAGAATTAGATACTTGTAATCATAATAGTTCATAAGCCAGTAGCTTCTCTTTGTCATTACCAAGGGACTAGATTTTCTCCCATTTAGGAAAAGAAAATAGGATCATTAAAGTTCATTTCTTTCCTTGAGCTTTTTTCAAACCTTCTACTGCATTTTACAAAAATTTTTTATGTTTATTTATTATTGAGACAGAGAGAGACAGAGCATGCGATGGGGAGGGTCAGAGAGAGAGGGAGACACAGAATCCGAAGCAGGCTCCAGGCTCTGGGCTGTCAGCATAGAGCCCGACCCGGGGCTGGAACTCTCAGACTGCGAGATCATGACCTGAGCCGAAGTCAGACGCTTAACCAACTGAGCCACCCAGGTGCCCCTATTTTTAATTGAAGTACAATTTACATAAAGTAAAACACATGCAGTTTAAATGTACAGTTTATTGGGGCTTTTCTTACACATGTACATGTATATGTAAAAATCACTTTACTTAGATACAGAATATCTCCATGCCCCCAGTAATTTTTTTCCTGTGCCTCTTTGAGTCACTACTCTCCCCCACACAGGAAACCAGTGTTCTGATTTCTATGACTATAGCTGAGTGATTCCTACTATGGGACTTCACATAAATAGTGTTGCATGGCATGTACTCTTTGCATTTGTTTTTTTTTCCACTCATGGTTTTGCAACTCATCTATGTTGTGTGTATCTTATACATACCAAAAGGTTAATTCAAAATGAATTATAGATCTAAGCATAAAAGCTAAAGCCACAAACTTTAACAGAAAAACATAGGAGGATATCTTTCTAACTTGAGGATAGATAAAGGTCTCTTAGAAGGTAACAGACAACAACTAAAACAATGATAAATCATACTTCATTATAATTAGAAGGCTTTTGCTCATCAAAAGACACCATTAAGAAATTAATGAGCCATTACTACTCACAAATGGTTTATAGTAACCTAAATGATACATACCATACATGATCCATTCAGGAAATAAAATCCGTATTAATGTTAGAACGTTTACTTATTTGTTTATTTATTTATTTTGAGAGGGAGAGAGAGCATGAACAGGGGAGAGATAGAGGGAGAGAGAGAATCCTAAGCTGTGCTGACAGCACAGAGCCTAATGAGGGACTTGAACCCATAAACCATGAGATCATGACCTGAACCAAAATCAAGTTAGCAGTTTAACAGACTGAACCACCCAGATGCCCCTAATGTTAGAAATTTTCTGTTGATCTCCATTAATCTTAGGAAAAAAGGGGGGTGATGAAAGAGGATAATGAAATTAAATTAATACAAAATTAGAATGTTTTGACTCATAGGAAAATAAATTATACCAGACTAATGCTTCTAGAAGGGAAGATGAAATAAAAATTAAATAAAACTATTTGAAGGCAAAAGAGATGGACCAAAACCAGGCTGCTCCCTGAGAGGAAAGAAATGTATTGGGTAAAATTTACATTTATCCAGGTTTCACTTTGAGGTTATCTCCCAATTTACACAGAGCTGGGTAGCTAGAACTCACAGAGAAAGATGAGTCAGAGGATGAAATTGGTAGATGTAGAGGAGGCGGAAAAGTAATAAAGAAAATCCCAGAAAGAAGAACACACAGAATGACGTACCCTAAAATCTGCATAGAACCTCTGACTTAAATCCTGGATGACAACAAAACTGTCCATGAAGAGGAAAAACTGCAGTTTCCCCAGGAAATAGCAACATCAGAAATGGAGCAATCTCCACTTATGCCCCCTGCAGGATAAATGGAGTTTGGAATTTGAGTCCAGCCCAGTTAACTACCTGTCCAGAAAAAAATCAACACTGTTCAGAGAAAAATAAGAAAAGCCAGAGTCTCTACATATCATCTGTAATGTTAGGTATACATTTTGGAAAAGTTAGTAGACATGCAAAGTAATAGGAATATGTGGCCCATAGTGAAGAGAAAGACATCCCAATATAACTCAGATATTGGAAGTGATAAACACAGACTGTATAGCAACTACTATAAAGATTTTTGAGGATTTAATGAAAAACTTGGTTAAAATGAATGAACAGATAGGAATGTCTCAGCAAAGAAATGGAAGCTATTTAAAAATGGGAGCTATTTAAAAGTGCTAGGGGCACCTGGGTAGCTCAGTTAGTTAAGTGTCCAACTCTTGATTTCAGCTCAGGTCAAGATTGCATGGTTCGTGGGATCAAGCCCTATGTCGGGCTTCCTGCTGTCAGCGCAAAACCCACATGGAATCCTCTGTTCCCCCTCCCTGTTGCTCCCCTGCTTGCACTCCCTCCCTAAAAAAAAAATCAACATTTTTTTAAAAATCTAAGAAAAATGGACATTCTAGAGCTTTAAAAGTGCTAATTTGAAATGAGGATGTTAGTGGATGGGCTTACAAATGGATCGTATACAGTAGAAGAAAGGGTCAGTGAAATGCAAGATAGATCACTGTTAATCACCTTATGTGAAAAAGAGAGGAAATGAAAATCCATTTACATTTACGCTGCAATCAGAAGCCACCTTAGCCATCCACATGCAGAAATTTCCACACTCTCTCATTATGATAGTGTTTCCAGGATGAGGCCTTCTGGAGGAGGGGGAAAAAAGGGGAAACAGTGTCCTGTGGTTCAACAAATAAGATGGTGAGACATGAACTGGAATAATAATGATAAAAACCTGTTTTGAAGCCCATCTACTTTCAGGAAGTGTTTGAGATGGCTTACTATTAAGAAGGCATAAGCAGGGAAACAACACAAGAATTTTTTTTAAGGGAACAGAAATAAAATAAAATAAATTTATTATTTAGTCACTTAGGTAGGTGTTTTCACATGACCTTGGGCATCCTAACCACTTCATAAGAATGAAGGTTTAACCTTTATGCAATTACTGTAAGGAAGGCTTACTTCTGTCATTTTGCGATTTGTTTTTGATATGCCTTATACTTTTCTTGTTCTTTATTTTCTGCATTAGTGTCTTCTTTATGTTTAGTTTATCTTTGGTAGTGAAATATTTAAATTCTTTTTGCATTTCCTTTTGTGTATATTCTGTAGCTTTTTTCTTTGTGGTTATTATGAAGATTACATTTAAATTCCTGAAGTTATAACACTCAAGTTACAACTTATATCATCTTAACTTCAATAACATACCAAAACTGTTCCTTCACACCTCAGTCCCCACCTCTCGTGGTTGTTGATATCACAAAATTACATCTTTTTACATGGTGTATCCAAAAAACTTACGCAAATAATTCTTTTAAGTCCATTAGCCTCTTAAATTATGTAGAAGACAAAATTTGGAGTTACAAACCAAAGTTATAATGATACTAGCCTTTAGACTAGTAATTTTAAAGAATGTATCAGTCTCTAAAGTAACATAGGAAACAGACACTAGAATTATACACTGTTGTTACAATACTAGCTTTAATAATTACCCATGTGTTTTATTTTATTTCTTTTAAGTTTGTTTATTATTTATTGGGGGGGGAGGGGCAGAGAGAGCCGGTGAGATTGAGAATCCCAAGCAGGCTCCATACTATCAGTGCAGAGCCTGATGTGGGGCTTGACCCCACAAAAACATGAGATCATGAGCTGAGCTGAAGTTGGTTGCCTAACTGACTGAGCCACCCAGGAACCCCTATTTTTTAATTTTTTTAATGTATGTATTTTTAATGTTTATTTATTTTTGAGAGAGAAGAGAGAGCACTAGCAGGGGACGGGCAGAGAGAGAGAGGGACACAGGATCTGAAGAGGGCTCTGCACTGACAGCAGAGAGCCTGATGTGGGGCTTGAACTCACAAACTGAGAGTACATGGCCTCAGCCGGAGTTGGATTCTCAACCAACTGAGCCAAACAGGTGCCCTGCCCAAATAATTATTTTTATGGATATCTTTATTTTTCCATATAGTTTTGAGTTACTATCTAATGTCCTTTCATTTCACTCTGCAAGACTCTCTTCTGGCTTTCTCTGGTGAGAAATCTGCCAGTAATCTTATTGAGGATCCCTTGTATGTGATGAGTCATTTCTCTCTTGCTGTTTTCAAGATTCTCTTTGTCTTTATCTTTTTTTTTTTTTTTTTTTTTTTTTATTTCTAGGAGAGAGAGAGAGACAGCGTGAGCAGGGGAGGGTCAGAGAGAGAGGGAGTCACAGACTCTGAAACAGGCTCCAGGCTCTGAGCTGGCAGTCAGCACAGAGCCCGACGCGGGGCTCGAACCCACGAACCATGAGATCATGACCTAAGTGAAAGTCGGACACTTAACCGACTAAGCCACCCAGGCGCCCCTCTTTGTCTTTATCTTAATTTTTCAAAAGTTTGATTATAATTTGTCTCAGTGTGGGGTCTTTTTCAGTTCATCTTACTTGGAGCTGATTGAGCTACTTGGATGTTTATATTCATCTCTGTCATCAAACTTGAGATGTTTTCATATATTCTCTCTTTCTGCTTCTTCTGGGATGCCCCCAATGTGTCTGTTGCTCTGCTTGATGGCGTCCCATGTCTCTTTGACCCTGTGTTCACTTTTCTTCAATCTTTTTACTTTCCATTCCTCAACTTGATAGTATTTATTGTCCTATCTTCGAGCTCACTGATTCTCCTTTTGCCTGCTCAAATCTGCCTTTAAATCCCTCTAGTGAATATTTCATGTCAGATATTGTAGTTTTCAGCTCTAGGATTTCTTTTTGATTATTCTTTAGGCTTTTTCTCTCTTTATTGTTATTTCCATTTTGCTCATGCATCATTTTTCTTTTTTTTTTTTTTTTACTTCTCCCACATCTTCTTTTCATTCTCTGATCATCTTGGACAATTGTCTTTGTCTAGTATATCTGCCATCAGGCCTTTTTCAGGAACAATTTCTGTTTATTTATGTATTCCTTTGAATGAGCCATACTTTTCTGTTTCCTTGTATGCCTTGTGATTTTTTTCTTGAAACTGGACATTTAAATCTAA